GTGTGTGTGTGTGTGTGTACATATGGGTGTGTGTGTTTGTCTTGCTTCTCTGACCAGGCCTAGCTGCTCCACTCACAGGTGCACCCACGTCCTCATCACTGTCACTACCAGGGCCCAGGGCCAGGATTAGAGCCTCCACAGGTGCTCCCCAAACTCTACCCTCCCCACTGAGGGTTGTCCTGGGGATGCAGACAGAGGAAGGGCACTGGGCAGAGCAGAGAGGGCTGGCACCCTCTCTAGGTGGAACCCAGGTCGTGTGTAAAGTTGTAGGTCTGTCTGTATTCAACACATCTTCTCACATTCTCTTTCCAGCAACCCTCCAGGGTGTCCTAACTCAGCTTCCCTACAGATGGAGGCAAGAAGGCTCCACAGACAAACCCCCTGCCTGAGGTCACACAACGGCCAACTGGCCAGGTTCCTACTGACCAGGTGCCCCCAACCAGGTCCCCACTGATGAGGCCCCTAATGACCACTCCTCCATTGACCAGGTCCCACTGACCAAGTCCCCACTGACCATGTCTCCCTAACCAGGCCCCCATTAATAGGCCTCAGGGACCAGACCCCACTGACCAATTTCCCACTGATCTGGTCCCCATTGACTGGGTTCCCACAGACAAGACCACAATTTACCAGGTTGCCGCTCACCCCAACCCCACTGAACAGTTCTCCATGGATCAGTGCCCAGCTGACCAAGCCCTCTCTGACCAGGCCCTCACTGACCAGGCTCCAAGCCACTAAGGCCCCACACTGACCAGGCCCCTAATATACTGAGTCGACCCCACCAACCAGTTTTTTATAGTTTATGTTTCAACCGATCAGGCCCCACCAATAAGGCCACCACTGACCAGGTCTCCACTGACTAGGCTTCCAATGACTAGGTCACCAGGTCCCCACTGGTGAGGCCTTCACTGAGGAGGCCACTGCTAACCAGGTCTCTGCTGATCAGGTCCCAACTGACCAGGTCATCTCTGACCATGGTCCACTGATGAGGCCCCTGAGCAGTGGTGCTCAAAGTCTCATTACAATGCCCCCATCAGCCCACAGACCCTCCCTCCCTGCATGTGTGCCCAGAGGTCAGGCCTTGGGGGTTTTCTTGGGCCCCAAGGCCTCTCCTCCAAGACACAGGGAGGGACAGTCAGCCTCAGGCTCCAGGTACCCAGCTTCACACTTGCCCCCCTAGGCCCTCTGGGCCCATCTCAAAGGAGATAGTGAGGTGACCTGGCACTGCCTGGACATGCCATGTAGCCTATTCCTGAGTGTAAGAGTGGGAAGAAGGAAGGGACATTTGGCAGGCAAGACACCCTGTTCTTCTGGGTCTCCCAGGCCCTTCCCGCAGAGCCCTGATCTAGACACACAGCACGGAGGTTGCAGAGAGACTAATCCAGAACCCTTGAGGCTGATCCAGAGACCACATGAGGATTGTCCCCAGACAGCTAGAAGGCCCTTCGCTAGTTTCTTGGTACCTCAGTGGATGCAGCAGTGGTTCTTCTGTTGGGGACTAGTAAGTGTGTGCTGGGGAGGGCTCACCTGTGTTTCCTCGGTGGCTCCAACTCTGCTTCTAAGAAAAATCACTCATTCCGGCCCTGGGGCAGAGAAAATACAAGATTAGCTTAGAACATTTTATGCCGGAAAGTTAAAAAGTGCGACAGAGTAACAGGGACAAATCAAAAAGACATAAAGGCAGCTTGAAATGTCTACCACTGGCCTAATCTTGGGGAACTGGAGCACAAGAATCATGAGCTTTCCCTTCTCCTTTCTTTGTTTTTGTTTGTTTGTTTTTGAGACGGAGTCTTGCTCTGTTGCCCAGGCTGGAGTGCAGGGGCGCAATCTCGGCTCACTGCAAGCTCCACCTCCCAGGTTCACGCCATTCTCCTGCCTCAGCCTCCTGAGTAGCTGGGACTACAGGCGTCCGCCACCATGCCTGGCTAATTTTTGTATTTTTAGTAGAGATGGGGTTTCACTTTGTTAGCCAGGATGGTCTCGATCTCCTGACCTTGTGATCTGCCTGGCTTGGCCTCCCAAAGTGCTGGGATCACAGTTGTGAGCCACTGCACCCCGTCTTATTTATTGGTGTTATTTCTCCATGTAGAACAAAGAAGAGAACAAGAAAATCATCTGGTAACAAGTCACCCACGAAATGCTAAATCTAATGGGTTTTGAGGAGTAACCAAATATTTACAGAGCCTCAAAGTATTTCCACACAAAATATGGTTGAACTACACATTGAAAATCATAACATTAGTATGGACAAATCTGGCAGGTACTCTTTAAGTCTCCTACTATATAGAGTAATAAAAACTGTAAAATGCAAATAAGCCTTTGATGACCTTTACTAAAGTATCAACGATGACTTGGTTGTTTGGCTGTTTAAACAGCTGACATTTGGGCAATTTGAGTATGCCTAACCCAATAATACTGGTGTTCATTTGCAAGATCCACTTAAAACTTAAGAAGGCTAAAAAATGTCATTTAAAATACCATATAAATTTTCAACATACATATGACACAGAAATATTCTAGTACATGAAAAATTTAGTAAAGATTGTGATGTTATATATTTTATGAGAAACAAAATTTCATGTAAGTAGCCCAGTAATAAAGTTTTATTATCTTTTAAATCATACAACTTTTCCTTAAGATTTCCTGGTTAAATATTCTCTTCATTAGATGTGGCTTACCAGTGGATTCTAGAGAAGAAAGTAGATGGGAGCAAGTGCCCAACACAGCAAAAGCTGGAAAGAAAAAGAAAGAATTATGTTCTTTGCCTAATACATTTCAGTTAACTAAGTGTGAGTTTAAAATGTAAAGAGTTGAGAACATTATCAGAGTTAATAAGAATGAGAAATATGTATGTACAATTACAATCCAAAATTACTATTAAATAATCTACACATAGCATAAATTCTAACTGTGGTTAAATATCACAGCTTTTTCATTCTTCATTCATGTACTCAACAGCCACGTTCTAAGGTACTGAAACTAGCACTGGAATTACAAGATGAAGATGGCATGGTCCACCTCTCAATAGTCATATGCTATAACCTAAAAAACAGACAGGCAGGCAATGTCCATAGAGAGTCACAGATACCATGACAGGTATACAGCAGGGCACTACTGGAACACACAGAAGGGGCACCTATCCCACTTTTGTGTCAATATCACGGGCTTTCTGGTGGAGGAGATCCATAGGTTGATGCCTGAAGGACAAGGAAAAACTTGCCAGATAGAGGGAAAAGGCAAAGGTAAAGAGCCTGAGGTGATCAAGAGCCCGGTGGAGTTCTACTCCGTCCACTTTGGTGCTAGAGCAAAGGGCAGAGTGTGGTAAGTGGTGAGAGACAAGGTTGAGTAACTTGACAAGAATTACATTGACATGGGTGTTCCTATTTCATGGTGAAAATTTGGGAACTTTTCTAGAGAACAGATGTAAGTCAATGACACAGTAAACGACAGGAGATTTAAAATATCACCTGTCAAGCCACTGCTTATGAAGGGTTATTGCTCAGTTAAGTATTTCTAAATGAGTCTGAGGTCTGTTGGCCTTCAATCTCTACCAAAACCCTGAGAACTTGATGATGCCTTTGTTTTCGGAGAATCCTTTCAGTGTGCTGGCTGACAGTTCCATGAGGATGGCAAAAGTGAAGAAATTGTAGAGTCAGTGAAAAAGAGATGGATACATTTCTTGGGAATTTTTTAAGCTATGGAACATGATGAATTAATGGTGCATAAGTATACTCTTCACTGTGAAAGTTTTTGTTTTCACATCTTTCATTAGATGTGTGTAAGAAAAAGACACTGAACATAGTATCTACTAACCCAACAATGAAAAGGAATGCCATCTGCTATTTACACTTTATTACTAAAATAAACCTAATTTTAATTAATAAATTTTGGCAACATACTTTTCTTTGTTTCTCTAATTATTTGTTCTACACAGTCCGGCTCCACCTAAAATAAGTAAAAACAAAAAAATGTTTAAATTAAACAAGAGACATTATCTATCAGAATAATAAATCACTTACAAAATGTGGCCTTTAGTATTTTTAGTGGCTAGACATAACATGAAGTTTGCTTAAGTAGAAAAATAATCACATAATAAAGTAAAATTTCTACTTATTTTCAGTTTAGATAATAGGGGATGTATCTGTGTAATGCTGTTTGGAGTAATCTGACAAAAATAGATAATATTGGTCTGTTGGCTATACATAATTTTAGAAAGGTGGTGTTTTATTAGTACAAAGGTTAAACAATGGCAGGGCAAGACAGTTCATGCCTGTAATCCCAGCACTTTGGGAGACAAAGGTGGTCAGATCACAAGGTCAAGAGATCGAGACCATCCTGGCCAACATGGTGAAACCCTATCTCTACTAAAAATACAAAAATTAGCTGGTCATGGTGGTGCATGCCTATAGTCCCAGCTACTTGGGAGGCTGAGGCAGGAAAATCGTTTGAACCCAGGAGGCGGAGGTTGCAGTGAGCCGAGATCGTGCCACTGCACTCCAGCCTAGTGACAGAGCGAGACTCCATCTCAAAAAAGAAAGAAAAAAAAAAGTTAAACAACAAAAGTCATATTTTGCAATGAATGCATTGCTTTGAAATTCTTAGCAAAACTCTGTCCTTTATAAAAGTTCAATCCAATTTTTTACTTCAATAAATTTTTTCTTAAAAAGAAATTTATATTCTTTACTTATAGAAAAAAATTTTTATAGTAAATTTTTCTTGCTTTTTTTTTTTTTTTTCTAGTTTGTATTCTAAATTAAAGTGGTACCTGTGTAAGTTTCTTCCAAAGGTATATTGAGGGATGCTGAGGTTTGGAGTACAATTGAACCCATCACACAGGTAATGAGCACAGGACCCAAGAAGTAGTTTTTCAACCCTGGCCCACTCTGTCCCTCCCCGTTCTTATTTCCCAGTGTCTACCGTTCCCATGTTCACGCCAGTGTGCACCTAATGTATAGCTCCCACATATGAGTAAAAACAAGATATTCGGTTTCTGTTTCTGCCTTAGTTTCCTCAGGATAGTGGATTCCAGCTGTATCCATGTTGCTGCAAAGGACAAGACTTTGTTCTTTTCATGACTGCATAGTATTCCATGGTGTATATGGAATTTTCCAATCTACCTTGGATTTTCAATCACCCAATCCTTGGGTGCACCTGGATTGACTCCATGTCTTTCTATTGTGAACAGTGCTGCAATGAACATACATGTGCATGCATCTTTTCGTTACAATGATTTATTTTCCTTCAGGTATACCCCTAGTATAGCAATGGGGTTGCTGCATGTGGGATTACATGTGCCTGCCACCACGCCTGGCTAATTTTTGTAGTTTTATTAGAGACAGGGTTTCATCATGTTGGCCAGGCTGGTCTCAAACTCCTGGCTTCAGGTGATCTGTCTGCCTCAGTCTCCCAAAATGCTGGGATTACAGGCGTGAGCCACCGCACCTGGCCAAGCACAAAGCTTTTAACAGAAAAATGGAAATGAATCTTTCAGTGTTTTGTTTATTTAATTCATAAAATGCACTTATTTTGGATTCTATTAAATAATAAATATCTATGTGTGGTTAAGTGTTTGGTTGCCAGTCATTCACTTGTGATTATGGGTGGGAAGAGTTAAGATGGTGCAAAGAAACTTTAAAAGTGGTATGGGCTGGGAATGGTGGCTCACCCTGTAATCCCAGCACTTTGGGAGGCTGAGGTGGGTAGATCACAAAGGTCAGGAGCTCGAGATCAGCCTGGCCAATATGGTGAAATCCCATCCTTACTAAAAATACAAAAATTAGCTAGGTGTGGTGGTGGGCACCTGTAGTCCCAGCTACTCGGGAGGCTGAGGCAGGAGAGTCACTTGAACCCAGGAGGCGGAGGTTGCAATGAGCTGAGATCATGCCACTGCACTCTAGCCTAGGCAACAGAGCAAGATTCCGTCTCAAAAAAAAAAAAAAAAAAAAGTGATGTAACCACAGACAAACTACAATCAAGTAGAGTAAGACAAAGCATCTCAAAGTATACTGTCAGTTAGTAGGCAATAATATGCAATTTCTAAAACCTAACTTCAATGCAGCTTTTAAAGAAATTTTAAATGTGCCAATTTAGTCACATTTATTGAATAAACTTAGCAAATGGGTATCTCTTGAAAATGAGAGCTCCAGTGAATTAAAAAATGTAAAGTTCCCATTTCCTTTCTGCGTTAACAAAGCTAATCATAATCTTTACTTAACATGCATAAGTCAACAGAACAACTCAGTATTTCACCAAATTATAAACAAGAATTATATTAAAGAAATGAAACCCAAAAGAGAAATGGTCATATAACTAACCTCAGTCAAGGAGTTCTCGCAGTTATTTGAAGTCTGTGGGTTTGAAGTAGGAATTCTTACGGGTGTTTTGGAAATATCTTTTTTGTTGAGTCCTATACTATTAAGATTTTCAATACAAGGTAACTCTGGGTCTGGCCTTGTAGGAAGAGTGCTGAGAAAATATTTCATCCGCTCTTTCTCCATAAGGAGCTTGGTGCTGATCACTGCTATTTTCTTATTCGATCTGTAAAGACAGCAAAGACAAATGCTTAGTATTTCATTTTTCCTTGAATGATTCTTAACGACTTGCATTTTTAAAACAGTTGCCCTGAGAGTAAACCAAATTACCCACTAAACAGTGTTTTCACAAGAAGATGTGTGAGAGCCTACCTCTTGTAAGCAATTTTAATTTTAAAATCATTCTAAATAAGTATATTGCTTGTAAAGTGATTTCTACTGAGCAAGAAGTTCAAAGTCGACAGGGAAAAGAAATGGTTATCAGTGATGTACAGCTCAACAGGTAACCCAGCTGCCTTCTAAAATAGCTCTACTTGTAAGATTCTAGAGATTCCTTTAGAAATACTTGTATTTGAAGGGTAACTATATGGGAAAATGAATATGTTAATTTGCTTGACTATAAGAATGACTTCACTATAAATAATTATATCAAAACATCATGTTGTACTCCTTAAAGAATGTAGATTAAGAAAACTAAAATGAACAAAAATAATCTAGAAATACTTGTGTTTAGTAAACCAGTTTCAGGTTTCACCCTTGTACACTTCACCCATTATCTAAGAACACTTAAGTATTTGGCACTGAGGAATAACTCAGAGCAACAACTCCTGGGGGAGAACCAGATTGGTTCGTTGGTGATCAAAGAGAACTAAAGCATCTCTGAAGGCAATTAGCCCCCAGCAGTGTGACCAAGGCACTGCAGGTGGGGCTTGTTCTTTCTGCCTTCCACACACCCCTTCGGGCTGAACAAGGTGTTTTTCTTTTAACCACCTTGTGGATTACACTTCTTTTCATTCCTGTGATAATTATTCCATATTTCACAAGGACGACTTTCTGTAACTCCTTGAAAATGTTACACAAATAGTCTTTCTTGAGGCACCCTCTAGTGATAATACTAAAGATCACAATCAAAAACAGTTCTTGCCTCAGTGCCAGGATGTGCCCAGAGTAGAAGCACAACTCGACACTTTGGGTTTAGGTTGTGATCTACCAAAAAATAAACTCTTTAATATTTCTATTTAGGGAAATTCTGGCAATTTTATAACAAGATCACTTTATTAATTATAAAGCTTCAAAAATACTTAGTGAAAAAAACTAACAGGTCAAGGTAACTGCATGAGACTTCAGGGGAAAAAAGCCATACAAAAGCAAAAAAAAAAAAAGAGCATAGAGACAGAAACTATACTTGAAGAACATTTTAAAGGTAAGATTATTTACTAACATTGTTTTCCAAAATTACATTATCAGATTAGCAGTCACTTCCTACTGATCTCCTGAAGCCATCTCACTAAAAATTATACTTTCAAAACAAATTAATGAGCTTAATTCATTTTCTGTTAGTGTGTTTTGACTTACTTCGTTAAATTTTTTGACATGGAATTGTGAGCTTTCAATGCTACTGCAAAGGCTTCCTTATATTCTTCTAATTCAGTTGTAACCTCTTCATAAGCAGTTTTCATGTTGGAGAATTTACATTCCACATCGGTAAGTGTGAGTTCCTTCTTATTTAGTGAAGCCGTATTATCCTTGTTTAACTGCTCTAATTGTTTTTCATATTTTGCTTGTTCCTAAAACAAATGAAAAGAATACACTTTTAAAACAATTATAACCTAATTACCATATGTTTGCTGCCTTTCATTTTGAGTCGGTGATTCAAAGAGCAATTTTGAATATGTTAAAAAGAGGCTGAAGCTTAAAATATTTATCAGCAATATCAACAAAACTAATAACTGAATTCAGAATTAAATCTGATTTATAAAAATTTGAAATCATAATTATGTTAGTATTAATGTAATCTGGTCCTATAAAAAGTAATAGAATCCATTTATAATTTTAAAAAGTGAACAATGAACAACGTAGCTTAAGACCAATCCAAAAGTATCACATAATTTCTAAATCACAGTTTTATCTTATGCCAGCTGGTCTTAATCATCAAATGACTCTACAGTGAGAATCATTACTTTGAAATACTGATTTTGTTATAATAATAATGCAAATTTAAATATTTAAAAGAAAAAAAAGATGCCACTTGTTTTCTAGAACTCTACAAAGCAAATTGCTGTAAGAGAGGCAAAGGAAACACAATATATACATATCCAAAATATAATTTGCAGTGAAACAAATGCAAGCACATTACAGATAAATTTACCTGACTTTAAAAACTAACCTGTAAATGGATTTCTTCTAATTTTTCTATTATCTGCATTGTCTTTTCATCTAGCTCCGATTTATATTCTTGTACTTTACCAAGTTCTACCATATTGTTTTCCATATGTGTCTTAAGAGTTAATACTTCTTCTTCCAACATCTTTTTATCCTCCTCAAGTTTTTCACATTTCTCTTGTATTTTTCTCATAGATAAAAACTCCTGTTGAAGAACTTGATTGTCTTTAGCCAAACTGACACATTTTGAAGATACAGCTTCCTTCTCGGCCGTAAGATCATCAAACTGCATGAATAAAATAATAAAGCTTGATAGTGAAGCAGGCTGCAAATAATCTAATACAAAACCAGTAACAAATTTTGAAATGCATTTACTTGCAATAACATGTTATCAATAATGTAGCACAGTCTTCAAATGTGAACCCTTAAATTACTCAGAATTTTAAGAGCAAAATTAAAGCTACCATGAGTCACAAAAATACACGCTCTACTATCATCATCTTTGCCACAGAACGCCTGCGCTTGATCTTTTTATTTTTCCGACGATTCGTTTTTGTTCCTCCTGAAACGGCACTGAGTGGTCTCTCAGTGAAGAGTGTCCAACCCCTTCCTCAAGGTCACTCCCCAAAATTTGTCAAAAAAAGTTTCAGAGCTATCACATTGAGTTATTTAGGCCAAAGTCAATAAATTGCTCTCAGAATAAGACTTTGAAAATAATATGATACTCTAGGCTAGGTCTGGTGGCTCATGCCTGTAATCCCAGCACTTTAGGAAGCTGTGGCAGAAAGATCACTGGAGGCCAGGAATTTGAGATCAGCCAGAGCAACATAGTAAGACACTCATCTCTATAAAAAAATTTTAAAAACTTAGCCAGGTGTGGTGGCTCAGGCCTGTAGACCCAGCTAGTTGGGAGACTGAGGCAAAAGGATGGCTTGTACCCAGAGTTCAGGGCCGCAGTGAATTATGAACACATCCCTGCACTTCTGTCTGGATGACAAAGACCATATCTCAAAAAACCACAAAATAATGAATCTTGTAAATAAGGATTCTGATGCCATAAGCCTTTCCCTAAACTGCAAATGTTTCACACTAATTTGAATTGCATTTTAAGAAGTAATGATTCTTGGGGTAAAGGCCATAGAATACAGCACCTAGAAATACATCCACATATTTACAGCCAACTGATTTTGGACTAAGGTGCCAAGAACATACATTAGGGAAAGGACACCCTCTTCAAATGAAAGGCACTGGGAAAACTATCCATATGGAGAATGACACTAGCTTCCTATCTAACACCATATAGCAAAATAAACTCAGAATCGATTGATGACTGAAATGTAAGGCCCAAAATTATCAAACTACTATAAGTAAAGATAGGGAAAATGCTTCAGCACATTAGTCTGCACAAAGATTTCTCTGGGTAAGACATCAGAAGCCCAGGCAAAAAACAAACAATAGACAAACAGTACTACAACTGAGTGAAGAGAAAACCTGTAGAATGGAAGAAAATATTTTTAAGCTATTCATCTAATAAAAGGTAAATATCCAAAATATACAAGGAACTCAAACACCCTCACAGTATAAAAAATAATCTGAGTTCAAAACTGCACAAAAGATCTGATTAGTTTTTTTTTTAAGAAAAAAAGAAATACAAATGGCCAATAAATATATTTTAAAATGTTCAGTATCACTAATCATCAGGGAAATACAAATCAAACCTACAATGTGATATACTCTTGCTCCATTTTGAATAAATGGCTATCATAGAAAAGACAAAAAATAACAAATGCTGGCGAGGTTTCAGAGAACAGTAAACTCTTACATGGTGTTGGTGGGAACGTAAATTAGTGAAGCTACTTAGAAAACAACATGAGGTTTTCTCAAAAAACTAATAATGGAACTGTTGAGGGATCCAGCAACCCCACTACCGGGTATTCAGGCAATAGAAAAAAACCAATAGATCACAAAGATACCTGTCCTCATATGTTCATTGTAGCACTATTCACAACAACTGATGTAAAAAATCAACCTACATGTCTATCAACAAATGAATGGACCAAAAATCGTGGTACACATACACAATGGAACACTATTCACCATATAAAAAAATGAAATCCTCTTATTTGTGGCCATTTGGATCAGTCTGGAGGATATTATGTTAAGTGCAGACACAGAAAGATACATACCATACATTCGCACTCGGGTGGAAGCTAAAGAAAAATTGAGGCTGGGCATGGTGGCTCACACATGTAATCCCAGCACTTTGGGAGGCTGAGGCAGGTGGATCATGAGGTCAGGAAATCGAGACCATCCTGGCTAACATGGTGAAACCCCGTCTCTACTAAAAATACAAAAAATTAGCTGGGCGTGGTGGCGGGCGCCTTTAGTCCCAGCTACTCGGGAGGCTGAGGCAGGAGAATGGTGTGAACCCGGGAGGTGGAGTTTGCAGTGAGCTGTGATCGCACCACTGCACTCCAGCCCGGGCAACAGAGCAAAACTCCATCTCAAAAAAAAAGAAAAGAATAATTGAGGGCTGGGCAACATGGCTTATGCCTGTAATTTCCTAGCACTTTGAAAGACCAAGGCAGGAGAATCACTGGAGACCAAAAGCTCCAGAGCAGGCTGAGTAACACAGAGAGACATCTCTACAAAGTGAAAAATCAGACAAATGCAATGGTGCATGTCCACAATCCTAGCTGCTCAGGAGGCTGAGGTGGGAGGATCACATGAGCCCAAGAGTTTGAGGCTGCAGTGAGCTATGATCAAATCACTGTCTCTAGTCTGGGTGACTACAGTTGCCTGGAGACCAGACTTCACTAGCAAGACCTCGTCTCTTAACAACAATAAAAAAGCTCATAGAGGTAGGGGATGGGAGTCTGGTTAATGGATACAGAATTACAGTTAGATAAGAGGAATGAGTTCTGGTGGTCTGTGGCATTGTAGGCAAATATGGTTAACTATGATTTATTGTATATTTTTAAAAAGCTAGATTTTGAATGTTCACAATTCAAAGAAATGAGAAATAGTTGAACTAGTAAATATGTCAGTTGGCTTGATCATTACGCACTATATACATGTATAGCCCAAAATTATGTATATACATGTCAATTAAAACAGAAGAGAAGCTATATTTATCCCATCAAAAGAACAGAATATGGGCCACCCTTACTGGCTTCCTTCTAATGAATAGAACGCAGTAAAAGGGATACCATGTGGCTTCCCTATCTCAGACTGCTTTCCCTTCAAACTCAGCCCTTAGATTGTGAGAGAGATCAGGCCACAGAGACAGCCTGGGAGTGCCAGTGTCAGTGTTCATGCTGCCTGCCCCAAGCAAGGTTCCAGCCAATGGCCTGCATCAACCATCAAACGCATGGGTGAGCAAAGCTTCAGATGATGCCATTTCCCCAAGTGATCAGCTGTTCCTAGGGAAGCTGAGGGGAGCAGAGGCAAGCTGTCCTGGCCAAGCTTTTTCCAAACCACAGGTTCATGAACTAAATAAATGTTTTTCTTTTAAGCTAAAAATCTCTGGGTAATTGTTAGAAAAATAAGTTTTAAAAAGAGACAACAATAAACATAACTTATACAGCAGAAAAGACTCTCCTTTAAAGTAGGATCTAATAAATGTTGAGATTAATTTATTGATGACAAACATTATTGAGAAGCAGCAGATAACCAGGAGAGAGACATAAGCTGCTGAAGAGGAACTTTTACTAAAACCCCCTTCAATTACGAACTCTGATAACAAAGCAAGGGTGTCTCCTTACAATTTCCCCTCAAGTTAGGAAATAAGACTGCGAAGCAAGAAGACATATGATTTGAAAAACAACTGGAAATACTTGGTTACATAACCACAATCAGATATTTACGTGATTTCAATTAACGAAAGTTCTAAAAGAATAAGCTTTGATCCGGGCACGGTGGCTCACGCCTGTAATCCCAGCTTGGGAGGCCAAGGCGGGCGGATCATGAGGTCAGGAGATCAAGACCATCCTGGCTAACAGGGTCAAACACCATCTCTACTAAAAATACAAAACATTAGCCGGGCGTGGTGGCGGGCGCCTGTAGTCCCAGCTACTCGGGAGGCTGAGGCAGGAGAACGGCGCAAACCTGGGAGGTGGAGCTTGCAGTGAGCCGAGATTGCGCCACTGCACTCCAGCCTTGGTGACAGAGCAGGGCTCCATCTAAAAAAAAAAAAAAAAAAAAAAAAAAAGAAAAAAGAAAAAAGAGAAGAGGCTTTGAGTATTTATTAATCAATCTAGTATTCAATTTTCATTTTCCTTTTTCTCAATGAGGAGGAAATAAGGAGAACATTATGGAATGATTTTTAGACTTCACAGAAGTAAAATAAACATAGTGAGGTTTGAGGGTTAAGACATCAAATGCAATTTCTCCTTTACTCCAAGCCTGTTTGTATGGAGAAGTTAAGACGATCCCATCTCTATGTTATACCACAATGCTTCTCTATAGCACACAACTTGGCTCTGAAATTTTGAAATTCAAAATACCAATCTACCATTTGTCTCTGATAAATTGCTGAATATTACCTGATTTTTAACTGCTGCACTCCTAAAACTTTTCTTGGAATGAGTTAAACTTTTTATTCCAAGAATCCTCTAGTAAGCTAGAAAGCAGAGCTGTGCATCTCTGTTTCAGTCAAAGGAGGTCAATACAGAAACTGTGGTTTCTGAGAATGCAAGATCTGCACCAAGAAAAGGATTAGCTACAGTGCTACTCAAGAGAACCAGCTACCACGTGGCAAGAGGATCTGCGAACTGGAAGATGATGACTTCACTTGGTTTCCACTGAGCAAAGCTGGCAGCTCAGACTTAAACTTCTCCTTCCTGGATGGTAAATATCTATGGATCTATGAATTATAATGAATTAGTAAAACATAATGCACTAAACAGTAGACTATGTCAGCAGATCCTGTGACCAAAATTTACTGAAAACGAAACTATAGAGGGAGGCACTGGATAAGAGACTCAAGGTTTAAATGGAGAAAAAAAAGAAATAAAGTGTGTCTTGTAAGCCTGACTTGCCATCGTGTCTTAGAGTAAGTAAGGTATAAGCTGGCCACAGACTCCTTTGAGACACAAAAGGTGAAGTTAAAGATATTTCACTACATTTAATTTTTATTATGACATAAGACAACTGGTAATATGCAACATGATTGAAAAAAACCTTTTCATTAAATTTGATTTGGTCCTAGTATAAGAATAGACATAAACAAACTAAGAATTGATAATCTAAAAATAAGCCTGCACATTTACAATTGATTTTATACAAGGTTAACAAAAAAAACAGAATGGGAAAAGAATAGTCTTTTCAACAAATGGTGTTGGAACAACTGGGTATCCATGTGCAAAAAAATATATATAAAGTTGGACTCTCACCTAATACCATATTTAAAAATTAACTCAAAATAAAACAGTTAACTGTAACAGCTAAAACTGTAACACTCTCAGAAAAAAACATTGGTATAAATCTTTGTGACTGCATTTGGCAGTGTTTTCTTAGCCTTGACTCCAAAGCAAAAATGGATTCAATGGACTTCAAAATTGAAAACTGCTGGGCCTGAGAAGACAGTATCGAGAAGTGAAAAGGTAAGACACTGAGTAGAAGAAAGTATTTGAAAAGCATATATCTGATAAGGGACTTACATATATAGGATATAGAAAGAACCCTTGCAATTCATAAATAATAAGATAACCCAATTTAAAAAACGGGCAAAGATTTTGAATAGATATTTCTGCAAAGAAGATATAAAGATGGATAATAAGCACATTAATAGATGCTTAATGTAATTACTCATTAGGAAAATGTAAATCACAACCACCTTGTGGTATCACTTCACACCACAAGATGAAATCTTTGTTCAATAAAAAAGAGAAAATAAGTGTTAGGAAAAATGTAAAGAAATTAAAACCCTTATCCAATGCTGCTGGGAATGTAAAGTGGTGCAGTCACTTTGGAAAACTGGCAGCTCCTCAAAAGGTTAAGCATGAAGTTACCATATGACTCAGAAATTCCAGTCATTAATTATATACTCCAGAAAAATAAAAACATATGCAAGCACAACTACTTATACAGCAGTATTATTAATAAAGTCAAAAAGTGGAAAGAACCCAAAGGTCCATCACCTCATGAATGGATACATAAAATGTTTAATGTATCCATACAGTGGAATATTACTCAGCAATAAGAAGAAATTAAGTACTGATACTGATAGAAGCAGGAGACAGCAAAATGCCTAGGCAGATACAGCATGGTCCCCGGAGAATCTCCAACCAGGCCCACAAGTGTCTACACCAGACAAAACATCTGGTGCAGATAAGGGAACCTGCACAGGGTTTTGCCTGGACATGCCAGCAGCGGACCAGAGGCCCACATGCACTGGGGGGTTGGGGTGGAGCCACCAGGAATTCACGCCTTATGCAGAGGAGGAGCCTGGCCTTTTCAGCTCATGTGTGCTGGTCCTGGTATTCAATTGTGAGGTGGAAATCTGTTTGCAGGACCCTTCTCTTTGCTGAGAGCTTCCCTTTCACTTAATAAATTCTGTCCTCCTCACCCTTCAATGTGTCCACGTGCCTAATTTTTCCTGGTCATGAGAGAAGAACCCAGATTTAGCTGAACTAAGGAGCAAAAACCCTGCATCAATACCTGCTACAGCACAGATGCAGCATGAAAAATTATGCTGAGTGAAATAAGCCAGTCACAGTAGACCACTTGCTTTTTATTTCAGAGGCTTATAGGCAAATCTACACAAAGAAGGTGGGTTGTTCCCTAGGGCTGAGGGAGGAAGGGAAAACTAAAGAAGATGGCTAAATGATGTGGGATTCGTTTTTAAGGTGATGAAAATGTTCTAAAATTGATTGTAATGATGATTGCATGACTCTCTGAAAATACTAAAAGTCAATGACTTGTATATTTTAAATGAGTGAATTGCATGGTGTGTTAATTATTTCTCAATAAACCTGTTGCACCCCGAAATTTATTTGATACTAGTGATCTGGAGACATGGGCTGCTTGGTTTCAGATCACTGGCCAGGGTTCAAGACATAAGAGAATCAACAGCATGTCTTATAAGATGTATAGAATATATATACATATTTTAAAGTATCCTTTTTATTAGCATCAAGTCTGTAAAATTAAATGAAAAATCTTTCACCGCTTAAAGCACTGAGAGATTTATATTGAGGAGAAAGACCTTGTATTCTTTTGCCCCAATTTCTATCTAAAGGGTCTGGGAATCACATCCTTCAAACTATCAAATCTCATCAGATAGGTTTTATTAACTCTTATGATGTGGCTTACTTTCTAACCTGATTCTGGTACAGCATCACAGAGAGAAGAAGCTGAAAAAAATCAAAGTATTTTACCCCCAAATATATATATTTTTGACATATTTTGAAATGGCTGTTGCAGGGCCAAGAAATTGAAATGGCCATACAAAGCTGTCTTCTGTGGGGGAAATTCCATCTGTAAGAAGTCTTCATTAATGTAGCCCAATCTCTCCCCTTCTAGGTCTTCCCAGATCTGGGGAAGATTAACTAAGAGCCTGATGCATTTAAAGTGTGAAAAGATATTTTTACCCTCTATTTTCTCTGAGGGCTGCCAGCTATGAGGCTTTGTCTACATAATAAGAACCTTAACCTCCGTAACCACCTTATCTTAATTAAGGCCTTCCTTTCTACCTATTTCCAGTTTTAGACAACAGATTTTCTTTACCAATTGTCACCTAAAGAATCCCCAAAACCCACCTATGACTTGTTAGCCCCTCCTTTTTGATGTCCCACTTTTAGGCTGAGCCAATGTCTGCCTTCCTCATATTGATTTATGATTTTCCCTACACCCTCTGTCTGCTGGAAATGTACAAAACCAAACTGTAATCTGACTGTCTCATGAAACATTCTCAAGAGCTCTTGAGATTCAGTAATCCAGGGCCACAGTCACCATATTGGCTCAGAATCAACCTCCTTAAACATATTATGGCTGAATTTGGGCTTATCTATCATTAATATTTCCCCAAATTACATAATTTTAATCCCCAAACTGATTTAAAATTACCTTATGTTGGAATATAAATTATCCTATTATAAAGATACATGTATTTGTATGTTCATTGCAGCACTATTCACAATAGCAAAGACATGGAATCAACCCAGATGTCCATCAATGATAGACCGGATAAAAAAAAATGTGGTATATATACATCATGGAATACTATGGAGCCATACAAATGAATGAGATCATGCTCCTTGCAGGGACATGGATGAACTTGAAGCTGTTACCCTCAGCAAACTAACTCAGGAACAAAAAACCAAACACTTCATCTTCTCACTTATAAGTAGGAGCTGAATGATGAGAACACATGCACTTGGGGTGGGGAACAACAAACACCTGGGCCTGTTTGGGTTATAGCTAACACCTGCGGGGCTTAATGCATAGGTGATAGATTGATAGGTGCAGCAAACCATCATGGCACACGTTTACCTATGTAACAAACCTGCACGTCTCGCACATGTAACCTAGACCTTAAGATAATTATTTTTTTTAAATTACCTTCTGTTTTAGCTTCTTAAACAGAACATCCATTTTCAGTTGATCTGTATTTAAGTCTCCATGGCAACTGAAGTCTTCATTTCCAAATACATTTAACATATTTATTGTCATTTCTAGGCATTTCTTATATCTGCAGAAATGTACATAAGTAGTAAGTCAAGTATTTGTAAGAGTAAATATTTAATAATTGTTTAAACAGATATTATGTTAATGCATATCAAAGAAACAAATCTATAAACTATGATCCTCTCAGTTTCAACATAGTTTGAAAACATTCTATATGAAATTATAATCTTAGATAAATAATATGAACAAAAATTTTATGGCATATATAGCAGGTAAAGTGATACGATAGCCATACAGTTTTTTTTGAGATGGAATTTCACTCTTGTTGCTCAGGCTGAAGTGCGATGGCGTGATGACGGCTCACTGCAACTTCTGCTTCCTGGGTTCAAGTGATTCTCTTGTCTCAGCCTCCCAAGTAGCTGGGATTACAGGCATGTGCCACCATGCCTGGCTAATTTTGTATTTTTAGTAGAGATGAGGTTCACCATTTTGGTCAGGCTGGTTTTGGACTCCTGACCTCAAATGATCTACCTGCCTTGGCCTCCCAAATTGCTGGGATAACAGGCATGAGCCACCACACCTGGCCTAACCATACAGCTTTTTTATAAATAAACTATTCACATCCATTTTGGTATGCTAAGATAAAATAACCTATTAGTAAATATACGCCATAACCCAGAGATGAGTAACCAAGATTAAAAAAAGTAAAACACATACATGTTTGAAAAAGACACAAAAATACATTGATATCCGTTGACCACAGTCTATAACAAGAAAAAAAAGTACACACAAAAAGCATCAAGAAGGTCATTCAATGTAGAGAAAGAGAAGTAAGGAAACATCTTTAACATCTGAGTTGAGGAGAAAAAGAAAACAGGCAGTTTTAGAAAAAAGGAAAGGTGGAAACAGATATGTGATGATTTAAAGACTTTGAAGAAGAGATCTAGAGATCTTTACTGACATAATCCAACAAAATGAAAGAGAAACAAAACCATGCAGACAAAGACAATGACAGAAAAATGTTGAATAGAATCAGAGAACCAACTTAAGTACTCAGTAAATAAATAGAAAACTAGCTGTGTTCAGGACTTCAAAGACACATTCCATTTTTTTTTAAAATCTGTGATCAAAACATGAATGCTCTTTTACTCTTTTTCTTTAGGTTATACATATATTTATACATATATATAATTTATTTCTGTAAAACAAAAGTTTAATAAGATGTCTACTTCATGTATACAGTGGAGGTACCCATGTAAAATGAGTAAATTTCCATGATATGTTTTATATCTAAAAGCAAAAGAAAGAAGCAGAAACAAAATACAAGCTATATATCAAGATAAATTTTGATGTTAGAGAATGACACAAATAGGTCTTAAAAAAATTTGAATGCAGCAGAGAAGAACACTGTAAAAGGAAGAAAAGATGACCAAATACAGCAAAAATATCTTCAGAAATAAAAATTCAAACTAGGTCATGAAGAGTGTACTTGACATCACATGCCCAAAGCATTGTCATTATTGTTTTCAAAACCATTAAAGAATACGTTGCCAAGCACAATGGCTCATGCCTCACTTTGGGAGGCCGAGGCAGGTGGATCATGAGGTTAGGAGTTTGAGACCAGCGTGACCAACATGGTGAAACACTGTCTCTACTAAAAATATAAAAATTCGCCGGGCAGGGTGGTGCACTCCTGTAATCACAGCTACTCAGGAGGCTCAGGCAAGAGAATCACTTGAACCCAGGAAGTGGAGGTTGCAGTGAGCCGAGATCGTGTCATTGCACTCCAGCCTGGGTGACAGAGCCAGACTCTGTCTCAATAAATAAATAAATAAATAAATAAATAAGTGTAATGTTTCAGCATTCAAAAAAATTTTGAGATTGCATTGTTTCTTTTTTTTCACATATTTTTAATATGAATGTTTTCATCCCAACTTCGCCATAGCAGCTTAGCTGACTTCTCCCCGTTTCTCCCCTTCCATTGGACTCTGTGACATATGGTCTCATCCAGAGATCTATTTTTCATCAGTTATTGTGTTTTTATACTGAAATTTGATTTTTTAATAATTCCAACAAAAAAGTGCAAGGGTCATGGACTCCTGCTCACATGCCTATAAAGTTGTGTTGTGAGTTTCTGAAATACATTTTAAAATAGAATTCGTTTAATTATGAAAATGCAGACATAAGATGAATTTGTATCTAGGTTTTAGTCAAGTAAAGTTAGAGTTAAATCAATTAATAAATGGTTAAAATGTTCTACAATATGAAAACCATACCCAGTTGTCTCTTCTTCTAATTTATTATTTTTCTCTCTTATTTGATCCACATTATAGTCCAGTGATGATATTAACTCAAAAAGTTTTCTGAATTCTTCATGTTTTTCTTCAGGCTTGAAAACAAAGGGTTTAAAATTATTTTTGCAAAATCTAGAGCCCCTCTTCTATCTTAAAAATATTATTTCTCATAAGTTGACGAATAATATGTATTTAGGCAGGTATATAAAGTGCATTTTATAAACCTGATGCCAATAAGGACAGATTTCAAAAATAGTCATTTTCTTAAAACAGCTAAAATTGATTCACACTTTCATCATTATCTTTTCTGAAATTTAAACTGCCAAAAATGTTTGTTAAAAATGAGAATTTTTACACATAAAATACTAAGGGTTAGTAAAAAAAAAAAAATAAAGGTAGCTATATTTACATTTTAGTTTTTAAAGATGCTCTAGAAACATTGTCATTAATAGTTTAAGATATTCCAAGTTAAATTACATCTTATTAAGATGATTTTTAGAAAACTCTTACTAGTTCCCATTCATTTTTGATCCTCATCTATCTTCAGGCTGAGCTAAATACTGTCATTCTCTGTAAGTATTCACCTGTAGGTTTTAGTCTTTCCATGTCTCTTTACCATTTCTCTTTAAACAAAGTTTATTTTTTCTACAATAAACAAATAATAACTTTTGTTTAGTTTTTGTGGCTTTTCTATTATCCTGTTTCTCCCCTTCCATTGGATTCTATGACACATGGTCTCATCCAGAGATCTACTCTTCATCACTTTGTATAGTGAAACTTGAGATAAACCAGTGTATGGCTCTTTAGAGCAAAACCTAGATAACAGACATCTGGGTTGCTTGGCAAAGGTCATGTGTAACCCTGAGTTATGAACCTGTCACAATTTAATTAATTGTTCTGCTCTGTATCCGTGCTTTCACACCACTCTAACTGTAAGACTGCTTCAAGCTAGCCCACCCCCTTTCTGAAGTGTGCATAAAAAAGTCAAGTGCTGGCCGGGCGCGGTGGCTCAAGCCTGTAATCCCAGCACTTTGGGAGGCCGAGACGGGTGGATCACAAGGTCAGGAGATCGAGACCATCCTGGCTAACATGGTGAAACCTCGTCTCTACTAAAAAAAAAAAAAAAATACAAAAAACTAGCCGGGCGCCGTGGTGGGCGCCTGTAGTCCCAGCTACTCGGGAGGCTGAGGCAGGAGAATGGCGTAAACCCGGGAGGCGGAGCTTGCAGTGAGCTGAGATCCGGCCACAGCACTCCAACCTGGGCGACAGAGCGAGACTCCGTCTCAAAAAAAAAAAAAAAAAAAAAAAAAGTCAAGTGCTGTCTTTGTTCTGGGCCCAGTTTGTCAAAAGTTGAGTCCATTGGACCTGAATACACTTAACAAAGATATCCTCCTGTATACACCTCAAGGTCTGTCTCTGGTCCTCCTGATTCCACAACAGCGCGATCTCCACTCACTGCAACCTCCACCTCTCGAGTTCAAGTGATTATCCTGTCTCAGCCTCCCAAGTAGCTGGGATTACAGGTGCCCACCACCTCACCCAGCTAATCGTTTGTATTTTTAGTAGGGATAGGGTTTCACTATGTTGGTCAGGCAGGTCTTGAACTCCTGACCTCATGATCCGCCCATCTCAGTCTCTCAAAGTGCTGGGATTACAGGCATGAGCCACCATGCCCGGCTGTTACTCCTCTTTTTAAATTCTCTCAGAACTCCTAAAATCTCCAAAGGTTAACCTGGATTCCCTAATATATATTTCCAACTCTGACCTTTTTACTGAAGCTTCTTCCTTCTGGTACACATATTATAGACAACATTCTCAACCACACACTCATACATTGCTACTTGGTGCAGATTACTTTTGTAGATAGTGAATCTTGTCTATTTTATGTTGATTCTTATTGATGTTACTTTGAATATAGTATTATTTTCTAATCTTGAAGGGGGGCTGTCTCACCCTTAGGATATTGACCAGTATACTTTGTCCTTTTTCCTTCTTTTTTTTTTTTTTTTTTTTTTTTTTTTTTTTTTGAGACGGAGTCTTGCTCTGTCACCCAGGCTGGAGTGCAGTGGCCGGATGTCTGCTCACCGCAAGCTCCTCCTCCCGGGTTTACGCCATTCTCCTGCCTCAGCCTCCGGAGTAGCTGGGACTACAGGCACCCGCCACCTCGCCCGGCTAGTTTTTTGTACTTTTTAGTAGAGACGGGGTTTCACCGTGTTAGCCAGGATGGTCTCGATCTCCTGACCTCGTGATCCGCCCGTCTCGGCCTCCCAAAGTGCTGGGATTACAGGCTTGAGCCACCGCGCCCGGCCTCCTTTTTCCTTCTTTTCTTTTCTTTTTTTTTCCTTTTTCTTTGGATATTGACCAGTATACTTTGTCCTTCCTTCCTTCCTTTCTTCCTTTTCTTTCTCTCTTTTCTTTTTCTTTCTTTCTTTCTCTTTTTCTTTCTTTCCTTTCTTTCCTTTCTTCTTCCTTCCTTCTTTCCTTCCTTCATTCCTTCCTTCTCTCTCTCTCTCTTTCATATCTCTCTCTCTCTCTCTTCTTTTTTTGACCACTATACTTTGTCCTTTTTTTCTTTTTCTTTCTTTTTTGTTGAGATAGAGTCACAGTCTCTTATCCAGGCTGGAGTGCAGTGGTGTCATGTCGGCTCACTGCAACTTCCATCTCCTGGGTTCAAGTGATTCTCCTGCCTCAGCCTCCCAAGTAGCTGGGACTACAGTTGCACACCACCATGCCAAGCTAATTTTTGTATTTTCAGTAGAGACAGGGGTTCGCCATGTTGGCCAAGCTGTTCTTGTACTTCTGGCCTCAGGCAATCCACCCACCTCAGCCTCCCAAAGTGTTGGGATTACAGGCATGAGCCATGGCACCCAGCCCTTTTTTTCTTGTATAATGAAAACTTTCCCATGAGAATCAGATTATCAATTGTTTGCCTTTGTTTCCTTCTAAAGAATTTCCTTTTCCATAGAGATATGGCATGATGAACATCTTGTTCTACAGTTTCTTTCTGGGGACACTCAACTATATCATTGGGAAGCTCCAGTCAAGTAGAGATCTCCCTTCCTCCTAATCGAGATTCTTCATCTCAAAATGGTGTCCACCAAATGTCTTATCCAGGTAGTCTCTTGCTTAGGAACTCATGAAATAAGAACCTTCTGGAAAAGTTAGAAGCTATTGACTGAGATGGTTTAAAGCTGTCCCTTATTATATGTTTTACTCCCAAGGCAGACATCACAGTGGCTAATAATTCTATGCCTGATGTCTAAATCAACTCTATGGGAATCTATAAAAAACATTTTATTTATGAGACAGTCTCGCTCTGCTACCCAGGCTGGAGTGCGATGGCTTGATCACCACTCACTGCAGCCTTGATAGTCTGAGCTCAAGCGATCCTCCCACCACAGCCTCCCAATGTAGCTGGGATTACAGGCATGCATCACCATGCCTCATCTGTTAAAAAATTTTTTTTTGGTAGAGTCAGGGTCTCACTTATATTGCTCTGGCTGGTCTCAAATTCCTGGGCTCGAGCACTGTTCTTGCCTCAGCCTCCCAAAGTGCTAGAATTACTGGCATGAACCACCTCACCAACCAGGTGTTCCATGCAATGGTTTGAGAAGCAGTTCTACACAGAAGCCAGAAGGCCTGGGTCTGAATCCCAGCTCTACCAGATACTAGCTATGTGAACTTGAGAAAATTAATTTTCTGTGTCTCTGGTTCTTTGTCTATGAAATGGAGAGAATAATACCATCTACTTCACTGGGATGTTGGGAAGATTAAACCGGGGACTGACATGAAGCACTTAGAAGAGTACATGGTGCATGGTGAGCTACAGATAAGATTTGCTTAGAAGCACTTAGAAGAGTCCAAATACACAGTGAGCTACAGATAATCTTTGCTATTAGCATGGTAATTTTTACTTTTTTATATCTTGACAATTGTACACGTTAGGCAGGTGGCATTCCAATGGGAGTGGTCTCCTATAGCTGCACTGAATCATTCTTCACACCACTGAAAGTGGCAGCAAATGGGGAGCGCATAATTTATAGCTTACTTTTCTCTCCATATGACTCAGTGGGCAACAGTCACGTACGTACTACAATGTAAACAGCACCTCCTGGATTGAGTAGTACATAACCGACATGACCAGCAGAGACAGGCTGAGCCACAGAGCTGAAAACCCTGGACTCTATTGCTAAATCAAGGCTTCTGAATCAATTCCCTCCCAGAAGCTGTTGCTGTGGCACTGCTTTCACGAGTACTCTACTGAGCGCTCAGATTAGGGGCTGTGCTATCATTCATCAGATAAGCTGCAGCCAGAACTGTTCAACTGACAAACTGGCAACCATCCAGAAATACAGTTTTGGCTACATAGTGAAGGAAGGCAAATTTAGATTCTTTTTTCACACTGAGAAAAACATGAGCATTTGATTGAACAATTCTCCTCTATTAGACCAATTGGTTTTAATTTCATATTTAATTGCTAAAAATACACTTAGAATAAAAGACTTACTGTGTTAATGTCTCAAAGAAGAAATAATTGGTATGGTATATTTTGTTCTATGCTAAAAGCTGCCAAGCTAAAATATTTTCAATTTATACAAGGATAGGTGACATGCATGTCAGATATTATTTTCCCTTTAAGCAAATTTATGATGAGACAAAATTATCTTCCATCAAAAATAAAAGCCATGTCAAATTAAGGGCTAAGTTATTCTGCAGACTGGGCAACAAGTGCTGAGATATAAGGTCAGTGAGAGTAAGAATAGTCAGAGAAAGCTTCATGAAGAGGAAATCGCCTGCCAGGTCTGAATGAATGAGGCTAGATGAGCAGGAACTGAGAAGGCAGGAAGGACAGCATGGGTAAAACTGGGGCTGACATCTGCCCAATTAACGCTGAGGATAAAAGTCCAATGGCAGAGAAATAAAAACATACATCCATACAATAATCTGTAAATGAACGTTCACAACAGCTGTTTTCATAATAGCCAAAAAGTGGAAACAACCTAAAGGTCCATCAGCTGACGAATGAATGGAAAACTGGTGTAGCCATGAAATAGACTATTATTAGACAATAAGAAGGAATAAACTACTGATATGTGCTACAACATGGATAAAATTCTGAAAACATTCTGCTAAGTGAAAGAGCCAGTCAGAAAGGACTTCATATTGTATGACTCTGTGTATATAAAATATGCAGACCACACACATCTATGGAGACAAAAGTGGACAGTGGTTGCCTACAACTGGGGTAGGTGGAGAGACATGGGGTAGGGGTAGGTGGAGAGACATGGAGAGGGGTTGAAGTCATGGCTAAGAGATGTGGGGTTGCTTTTCAGAGTGGTGAAAATGTTCTAGCATTGATTGTGCTGATGATTACACAATGCTGTGAATATACTAACAGACACTGAGTTGTACATTTTAAATGGTTGAACTGTCTGACATGTGAATTATCTCTCTGTGAAATTGTTTCAAAAATCTCATGGTAGGATCAAGATAATTTTCTCAGCTCTCTATTTTGGATGTACATGCTCTATCAGATCTGAATATTTTTATGCCATTACAGTATATTTTAAATGAAAGGAAGATGAAGGCAATGCCTAACTTTTCAAGTAGTTTGTGAATTAATCTAAAACATGTGCATTTCAAAGAACAGTATGATGACCTTTCTGTACAAGTTAACCTAGAATCCATGAAATGAATAGGCACAGCTTCTGTGTCCATTCACAAAAGTGAAGAAATAAGACAACTTTCTGCAACATTCCATTAAACATTCTCCTCTGATTCAATCTGGCTTGCCTCACCAAGACAATAAGGAAATTATCTAAAACTACTGTTTAACAGGAAAAAAGTCAATTTTCTGTGAGGAGTGATTTATCATTCTCAACTTTCCCAAGAGTAAACATTGTAAGAGAAAACATATGCAACTATTTTTCAAAATGTCAGAACAAGAGCCAGAGTTGAAGAAATAAGTACGTTATAAAGATAATAAAATGGTAATAATCAATTATAATGAAATTACAAAATCAAGCTGTCCACTGAAATTAGTATCCTAAAACACTTTATATTATTCAACCAGCTACAGATTAATGGTCTACATGTTAAATTCCATACATACTTGACTTCCTACTTGAAATAATTTCTTCTTTGAAGCCCGTGTCTCATCCAAATTAATATGACAATGTGATGTACCTTCCAGTGGAGATTCTGACATAGAAAATTTGTTAAGGTGATCAGCCAGTTCTTCTTGAAGTCGTCTCACAATCACCTGATAAAATATTTTTGTTACCAATTTTATAAAGTGCCTTATTATTAAATTATGTTAATAATATTTAACTCCAGCATACATACTTTGAAAATTATTACCACACACACAGATTCACTTTCTTTTCCTCATATGTACACATTCTTCTTTATTACTGAATTCAGTGAGGGACACAGAAGGTGTTATCTTCCTGCCAAATCATTCTCTTACATGACAGATGGATTTAGCCCACTATTCATTCATCTTAGGCCCTCAACTCAACCTGAGTTCCTCACATATTCAATCACCTATTGAAATCCTTCCAACAGATTCCTATCTCAGAATAAAAGTAAAATTCCAATAGCCTTCAAGGCGCTAGGTAACATGGCCTCTAACTCCCTCCCTGACCTCAGCTCCTACATCTGTGTCCCGTACTCACTTCCATCCCATTCTCCGTGAACTCTGCCACCCTTCATTAGTCTGAAAATGGGGATTCAATGTCAAACTCATAAATCACAGACAGCTACAAGTATCCTTGTATGGGAAAGAGTTATATATAAATGACAGTCATTGAGACTTAAAATGTAAATTATGAGTTAATTATTCATAAAATATTCACAATAAATTATAAATACCTACCAGTGGGAACATTATATCAAATTTTTTTTTGCTAAAATTTGTGACATTTATTCCAAATTGTGATTTTATAACAAGTAGATGTCTTTAAAATTCTAAGTGATCAGAAAAATATATAACGTGAGACTGACATATTTTTAGACTTAAGTCACATTGGTATGAATCAAAACAAAGTTATACCAACCAAAATACATAAAAGAGAGAGCCACTGAGGGAAAAGCATCACAAGACACAGCAACAAACTTCACTTCATCTGGGAAATCTAGAATTAAGTGTCAAAGTGGCTCACTTAATTGAATCTTAATTTCAAAATACACATTTCAGGTACAAGCATTTCCACTTACCCGCTTCATTATGGTCTTAGAATGTGGCAACATAAAGACATTAAATTTATTATTTCAGTAGTATAAGACTACCTCCCTTATCAATATTGCTCTGTATCTACTACAATTTCATAGGTGACATAATGTCTTTACTCAAAGGAAAGCATCTGTCAGTTCTACCTTTTATTTTCTGGAAACAAAGTATGTTTCCAAGCTGATACAGCAAACATATTTTTTTTTTGGTTTTGTATTAAAACAGCTTTGTGGAAATATGATTTTTATTAAAACAGCTTTGTTGAAATATGATTTATAGAATTTATCTGTTTTAACAAACAGTTCAAAGATTTTTAGTAAATTTACTGTATCATGCAACCATCTCTACAATCCAACTTTAGAACATTTTCATCATTCCAGGACAATCCCTCATGCCCATTAGCAGTCAACACCCATTTCCAGCCCCAGCTCTACACAAACATTAATCTTCTTTCTGTTCCTATACATGTATTTCCTGGATGATTCATGTAAATGGAATTATACAGTATGGTAAACACATTTTCATCTATTTATTTTTATATTGAACTAGGTTCAACATACAGCCAGAATGAAATGCTTAAATTTTCTTTCCAGAAGGTTAAAAACAGTTTTCTTCATACTTACTTCTCCTTCTGCTTCTTCTTTTTCATACTGAAACAGTTTTTCTTTTAAATAATTATATTCATTCGTTAATTCCGTATTTTTTTCTTCTGTAAGATCTTCCTTTCCATTCTCAAGACGGTCTTCTTGGATATTAATGACTATCTCTTTATTATTGCCTTCCTTATAAGCATCCTTTAGTTGTTGTTCAAGCAATAGATTTTCAGGTTCTTGTTGATGTCTTCTCTCCTCTAAAGAGTTCTGCTTTCCAAAGGATTGACTTTCTTTAGCTTCCTCATTTGGATGCATCTGCTTCATTTCCTTTAATCGATACTGCGTTTGCTTTAGGTCTATCTGTACACTTTCTAAAGCCAGTGTCTTTTCCTTGAGAGCATCTCTTGTCTCATGAAGCTTACCTTTTAAGGTATTGAACTTCACCCGAGCTTTAGAAAGTTGTTCGGTAAGCAACTTATTCTTATCTGTTAGTTGAGAAATATTGGAATCCATTTTTCCATGTCCAGAAACATCATCTGCTCTCCATAAAACTAGTTCCAGGTCTTTTCTTTCCAAAATGTCATTGTACTCATTTATAGCAGTGGCCAGGCTAGAATGGAGGGATTCAACTTCAGCTTCTAGTCTTGCTTTGTTGTGTTTTTCCTTCTCCAATTTTGAATTCAGCCTTGTATTCTCAGCTTTCAGTTCATTAAGCTGTTGCGAATACTGGGCCGTTGTTTTTGTTACCATTTCGTCATTGAGTCTTACACTCTTTTCAAAGTTAGCATTCATTTCTGTAATACTTTTAATTTCCTGAAAATATTCTTTTTCCTTTCTGAGACTGTCATTTTTTATTGTGTATAATTCCTGTTTGAGCATGGCAATGTCTCTCTTCAACATGTAATTTCCATACATCACATCCTTCTTTCTTCCATAACTTTGAGAATCCTAAATAAAACAAAACAAATTTTTAGCTAGCACTCAATAAAATAACATGTCATGGTTATTTCTGAAGTGAAAAAACAACCTGTACATTCATGGAATTAAAAGTTGCTGTAAGTGGATATCAAACTGGAGAAAAAGTTGAAGTAAAACCTTGAACCTTAGCATACATTTCAAAAAGTTCACAAATTTATTTGATGTCAATGAATCCATAAAAGTAAACACACACACACACACACACACACACACACTCTCTCTAGAGAATTTTTAAGAATATCAGAATTGGAAAAACCTTTCTCTGAATTACAACAAACTCAAAGCATAAAGTTAAATGTTAAAAATTTTGACTAAATTAAAATCTTAAAAAAAGAAAATTACATTTATACTCTGATATCTAACCCAGACACCACCCTAGAGCAAGAGCTTTACCTCCACATCTTTTTGGACAGATAAAATCTCTCAAAGTTTTAAAAGTTCTGTTTCCCTGATCATATTCTATTGTGATTTGACTCAACATTTTTTAGTCAGTTGTAAGAATTACATTTACTAAATCATAAATCTAGACATTGTACTAAGCACTTCTACATACATACATTCATGAACTTATTTAATTATCACAATCCTTAAAGAAGAGAGGTTACAAATACAAGCAAGCTGCAGGATTTTCCTCAGGGCTTCTGATTCTACTTCTAGTTCTCCATCAGATCACAGTTACTTCTGTGGTGTAAATATACCAACACAAAAACAGAGAAACAAAAAGACACAGGCATAAAATGTGTCTTCTGTCTTTGTCACCTGGATTCTCCATGAAATAGCCAGATTGAGAAGATGTGACATGTGGGGCTTCAGAAACAGAAAAGAACCTTTCCCTTTTCAGCACTAAGCTATTCTTTTCCCCACTGCTTGTTCTCCTTATTTTTTCATTTGCATCCTGGGATACCAAAAAAGTGAAGGTGCTCACTAAAATAGAGGAACCAAAGTTTGCCACAACACAAGGAGCCGAGTGAAACTGCTGAGTTGCTAGTGCAGAATCCTGGAAAATGAGATGTTCCTCAAATTTCCATTCACTTACCACAAAAGTTTATAGCTGGAAGATATACAGTATAGTTGTCCATTCTAGCCCTATTACCTACTTGATAAGGGAAGTAAAACCAACAAATAGTTAGTAACTCACCCAAAGCTCCTAAGGTGGCATTACCTAGCATTTCATGGCACCAAAAGGGAAGATACAATTACATGTTACTGAATTACATAAATTACCAGATAAATGCATTAAATTCATCAAATAAATTAAAGGTGTGACTTTGGCAAAGCAATTTAATGGCTCAGAGGGTGGCAGGAGGCCTCATCTGCTTTTACTTTGAAAGAAAATCTCTAGATTTTTGTCTATCTTTAGAACACAATGTACAGAACTCAGCCTTCTACTAGAGTCAAATGCTAAACTTTTGGCTGAGGAGTTATGGTACTTATATGATAAAATCATACATGTCAAAACCTACCATATTTTATGAAACAACATCATGTAAAAGTCTGATTCAACAGAAACATTGGAGAGTGATGATTTTTTTAAATATGTGAAAGTATATATATTTGTTCCCAAAATTATTTAAAGTGGCCATGATGGAATTATAAGTTTAAACAGTTTGAGTCAAACAGATAAACCTGCATGCATGAAGCACATTAAACAGACTTCTTTGGCTGGAAATATTTGTTGCAACTCTCAAGGTCAGACACATTTTCATATCTCTTCTCAGTCATTGCTTCCCTCCCATTGTATTACCATTTTATCATTTAAATAAATGTAATTCATATTTAAATGAATATAGAAAAAAGAATCTAGACATTATTTCTTTAGCAATTTCCCTTATGCTTATCTAGTTCAGAAGGTCACATGGTATATGGTTAAATAATTTTCCCAGCCCATATGCCACTTGGAAGACTCATAGTGAGACTTAGGTTGATGAATGAGCAAAGATTATGGGAATGTTTTCCAGAACTGTCATTTAGATAGCAGCACTAATCTACTTTGACACGTAACTATACATTTAGATAACCCCACTGTAACTATACACATGAGATTTTCTTGAGTAGAGAACCAGAAAGAATCAGATAACTTATAATAAGAGAAGCAGCAAGGGAATCTCTTTCTTTTTATAGTTGAACTTCTTTTCTTCAAAGCCAGGACCTCTACTTGTAACAAGCTCACCTCATTCTTAAGCCTTTCCATATCTTGCTGTAAGTCTTCTTCTAGATATGCTTTTGATGTTCTGTCACTATGTGGTGGAGAATAACTCACATTTTCTAATTCGGGTTTCGTGCTTTTATAGATATTAGCAGTGGGACTGTCACATGTGGGTCCCTGAAACACACTTGCCAGTCATCTTCTAAGCTTTAGAAGAGCTTCTAAGTTCCATATGGCTTGTGGAACAAGCGCTGTATTGGTTTTCGGTTTTTGTAAGTGTCTGTAACAGCAGAAATACTGTAGCTTTCTATCCATATTACATGCTTCAATTCTTTGGAGTGAGCAAACCACAAATCAAAGACTTTTTGCATCTCTAGACTGAGGCCAATGTCTAATGCCTAATTTCCAATCTGTGGTATTTTGGGTTATATTTTCTTGTCATTTGCATATCAAACTCTTGGTCTTCTTTCATTTCAGCCATAACTACTGGGTTCCTTAATTTTTCAATTTCTGTATCATTACAACAATTCTCTTTCTTCTTCATCTCTGTGAGAAACAGGCGACATGTCTGGTTACAATTTTTACAATCTGATTTATTTTCATTTGAATAAAGCTTAGAAGATGACTGGCAAGTGTGTTTGAGGGACCCCGAGTGTAAAGGCAATGACAAGACCTGAGTGAGATGGGCTCGTTCTGTTCAGGCAATGCCTGGAATACTACAGGTTAAGACACTCCAGGTTTATCTGCTTCCTCAGGGATATTATCAGGGATATGATTCATCAGATTACAGGGCACTCCCTTTAAGTTTGTCCTTCTTTAGGTTTACAATGTAAGAGCTCTTCCTCAGGACAAACAGTAATTTTGGATTTTTCAAAACTTTTCAGCAATCTTCAGTTGAACTTTTTTGTAACAAATTTTTTTTTTTGAGATGGACTTTCACTCTTGTTGCCCAGGCTGGAGTGCAATGGCATGATCTTGGCTCAACACAACTTCTGCCTCCCAGGTTCAAGCGATTCTCCTGCCTCAGCCTCCCGAGTAGCTGGGATTGCAGGCATGTGCCACCATATCTGGCTAATTTTGTATTTTTAGTAGAGACGGGGTTTCTCCACGTTGGTCAGGCTGGTCTCAAACTCTCGACCTCAGGTGATCCACCTGCCTAGGCCTCCCAAGTGCTGGCATTACAGGTGCGAGTCACCATGCCCGGTATTGTAATGAATTTTAAAGGAAGTCCTGAATATACAGATATATCGCCTTTATTACAATTTTTACCCAGTTCTGGTTCTTGAGACATTTTTTTTTTTTTTTGCAGGTGCAAAAGTGAAAATTAATTTGCTTCTTTTGTTTCTCAGATGTCTTTTCTGACAGGGTGTATGTTTTAAAATTAACTTTAGTCTCAATTAAGTATGAACAAAGAAAAAATAGAAAATAATTAAAATTGAACTGTGAAACTTAATCTATGTTTTACTATCCCTAAGTTACTGGATTATAACTAAGAAGTAAAAAATAATTTGCCTTGGCTTAATATAGGAGAAAAACATGAGTCAGGAAGCTCAACTCTGTTTGTTTGGAGTAAACTTAATTCATTATGAATTAAATCTGACAGAAATGGGTTCACAGATGATATGTAGTATTCTACAGGCTTTCTCTCTTGAAAGGATTTTTACCTCAGCATACCCTAAACAGTGAACACCTACAGTGAATTAATATCTCTAAGAGTATGCAAATGCTAAATTATTAGAAGCCAAAATGAATACCAATCAGAAAGACAAGAAAATTTTTAGATTCTACTTTAAATGTTCTACTGTAATATGACAGTGTTATCTAGAAAGTCATCTGCTTATATCCAGGTCTAATATATTCTAAGCTCCACTAGTGACAGTGGGTTAAAACATTTTAATAGCATTTTCTATTTATGTTAAAACAAGAAAGTTATTGTTTGTACCCTGACACCAAAGTCCCTTTCTGGAAGGCATGATTCTCTAATAGGCAGTTGGGCTGATTTTATGAACCCATCCTCTCCCTGAACATAGACACTGAAGGCAACCAGACACCAAAAAACAGACGAAGTCTTTAACCTCAGCACTGGTGACCAGCAACATAAAACTGCAAAGTTTGAACCACTGGGAACCACTCCTTTAACATGAGGTGAACTCAGGGGCCATCACTGTCCAATTGTTCATAATTTCTCTTGCTTAGTAATACAACTCCATTTCTGATGTTACCCTCTTTATCATGAAGAAGGTTATAAAAATAAAAGAGCAAAGCGACTTCTGGAAATTTCTGGCCTCAATTCCAAGGGTACAGATAGCTATGAGTTACTACAGACTGTAAGAATATTTTAAATTTTATAACTGGCTAAAATGTTTTAAAATTCAATATGAAATTACGCTCTGTTGGATTCTAAAAGGATAGCCTGTAAGGTCACTTCATTTGGACTATGCTATGGTATTAAAAACAAACAAACAAACAAACCAATAGTAAACCAGAAATTTAAATTGTTATATACCTGTGGCTGTTTATTTCCACTTCTTTCAAGCCTTTCTTGCTTTTCCTCTGAAGCCACTTTTAAGTTGTGTTCTGCTGACAAATCCATATGTTCAGTTAAAATGAATGCTTAGAATAAAGACTATAATCTTTATAAAAATGGATACAAAATAACATACTTTTGTTTTATAAATTGAGAGTTTAAATGAAGCTAAATGTTTACTGGAATATTTACATTTTTAAGAAGCACTTCTAATTATCTAAAACTTTAACAAACCCCTTGGGGAGACACTAGATATCAGCAGGTTCAAGACATGCAAAAGTCTCAGGGTCACCCACAAATTATTCCACCCAATGTAAATAAAACTGCTGGAAACAAAACAAAATTTAAAAATACAGTGAAAACATATAAAGTAACACTTTACTATTCTCTACTTCATAATAGTATCTTTTTAACAACATGCTAAGTTGTTATTTACTAATAATTTGCAAAATTTTTGTTACTGTTACACCTTTATAATGTACACCGTTTTTTACATCTGAAATGTTTTCCTCTACTATTCTGATAAATGTATTTTTGTGTTATAAGACTCAGAATGTAGGCTGGGCACAGTAGCTCACACCTGTAATCCCATCACTTTGGAAGGTCCAGGTGGGATAACTGCTTAAAGCCAGGAGTTTAAGACCAGTCTGGAGACCATAGTGAAACCCTGACTCTATAGAAAATTTGCCAGGCATGGTGGTGTGTGCCTGTAGTCCCAGCTACTCAAGAGGTTGAGGCAAGAGGATCCCTTAAGCCCAGGAGTTTCAGTTTGCAGTGAGTCTCGATCATGCCATTGCACTCTACCCTGGATGACACAGTAAGAACTTGTTTCCAAAAACAAAAAAATAAAAAAGAAAAAAAGGCTCAAAATGCTATGTGAAGTCCTCCTTGAATCTGGCTATCTTTCTCCACATACACAGGCTCTCCGTCCTTGGGTCTCCCTTAGTACTTTGTCCATTTTTCTAGTGTCACTTCACCATCTGAACTGCACATCATGTTTTTGCACGTCTATCCCCTTTGTTGCCAGACTGTAGCAGTCATCTTTGTATAAAGTCTTTATTTTACTAAATGTTTATTGAGTTCCTGCTAAGTGGTAGGCACTGGGGTTTAAAGAATGAGAATAAAAGCTGTTAGGGATGGTTTTTCTAAAGATCATGCATGGGCTGAGACTGAGACAGTGAGGTTCACCAGATTAAAAGAGGCAGAGGGCAGGAAAGATAGTACATGCCAGGCAGTGGCAAGAGAGGGAGAGAAGCCTCCCAGAGTGTATGTATTTGTCTACATGAGAGGGATGGTGATGGGGGCATCAGCAGCAGCTCAGTAATGCCAGAAAAAGAGGCAGACAGAGAAAGGGCTGCAGATGGAGATTTGGGCAGAAGCCAGTTTCTGAAAGCCTTATATAAACCAACTATTACTGTTGTTTCTTAAATTTATTTAAAAAAAGCAAAACAAATTAGAAAAGCATAATTCCAAGAAAAAGACCAACATTTTACTTTATTGTATCTTATCCTATTTGACTTGATTTTTCTTAGAGATGGGGTCTCACTCTGCCACCTAGGCTTCAGTGTAAGGTTGCTATCGTAACTAACTGTAGGATCAAACTTCTAGGCTCAAGTAATTTTCCTGCTTTAGCCTCCCAAGTAGCTGAGATCACAGGGGCAGAACACCACACCCAGCTACAGATTTTTAAAAAATAGACACAAGGTCTGGCGATGTTGCCCAGGCTGCTGGACCTCCTAGCCTCAAGGGATGCTTCTATCTCAGCCTCCAACACTGACAAGATCACAGGCAGGAGCCACCATCCCTGGCAACACCAATATTTTCAAATGAATAAACTGGAGCTCCATCATTTTATTTTATCATGGACGGGTGAAAACCTTGTAATAGACTCATGGACTCCATGGATTTGTGACAAGGAAACTATAGCATTAACTACGGCTGAAGCTTCCCTTGTCTCCCAGTCTCTTCACATGATTAAGAGTAAAGACACTCAAGTGTCTTACCTTTTGCACCTTCTTTCCTTTTTTCCAAATTTGCAGGCTTCACAGCTGCTGTTTCTGCCAAACATGCAAGTTAGTTAGATATTCCTTCTAGAAAACATCATCCCTCTGCCTCCTTACCTGGCAAAGTTTCACTCACTCTACATGCTTCCCCTAAATCCTACCCATTTTTTTAGAAGCTTGCAGTCATCACCACAAATTTAAAAGTGCATGGCATCTAATGAACATAATAAATTTCTAGTAAATAATAACTATATGCTCCCAGGTGACACCTATCCTCCATCTACCCTCTACAAAATGGGTCAGCACACTGCAGACCACAGGCCAAATCCTGCCTACCGTAAGTTTTTTCTCAGTAAAGTTTTATGAGAGTACAGTCATGCCTATTCACTGACATGCTGCCTATGACTGCTTTCACACTACAATGGCAGGGTTGAGTAGCTACGACAGAGACCACATGGCCTTCAGCTGCTTAAATCGTTCTTGAAAGAGAGAGAGAGAAAGAGAGACCACATGGCCTAAAATATTTCCTATTCTGCCCTTTACAGAAAAAGCTTGCCAATCCCTGCTTTATACCCTGAACAGAATGCCCTAATTCTCAAATTGAATCTAATGCCTCTCCTGCTCACAATTTTCCAATGAATTTCTAGAGCAAACACTGCTGGCTCCCTACCCAAGAGCAGTTCCTTGTTGTTTCTTGCTGGAGAATCACAAATCTATTTGGATATTTATTATCTCAATACTCCTCTCCAGCTTCAAAAGGTAAGTGATTATTCAAAGCTAATCACATAACCACATTTGCTTTCCCAGTGCCTGGTTTAGGAATGAGTATGTGGTGTGACCCAGCTAATAAAATTTTACGAAAAGGGCTGAGCACGGTGGCTTATGCCTGTAACCCCAGCACTTTGGGTGGCCGAGGCAGGCGGATCACAAGGTCAAGAGACCGAGACCATCATGGCCAACATGGTGAAACCCCGTCTCTACTAAACATAGAAAAATTACCTGGGCGTGGTCGCACATGCCTGTTGTCCCAGCTCCTCGGGAGGCTGAGGCAGAATTGCTTGACCTTGGGAGGTGGAGGCTGCAGTGAGCCGAGATCGTGCCACTGGACTCCAGACTGGCGACAGAGAGAGCCTACATCCCCGCCAAAAAAAAAAAAAAAAAAAAAAACTACAAAAAGTCCCCTGCAAGCCTCTGAGTTTTTTCCCAATTTAAAAGACACACGTGAAGAAAAGCAGCCCTTCCAGCCTTTAGATACTGTCTTGTGAGAACATGATGTTTGGAGCTGTTGCTAAGTAGCCAACCATGAAAAGAGACATGAACAAGACACTGTCAACAGCATAGCTGAAAGAGGAACAAGTGGGATCCAATAATATCACCAGACAACCAAAACAAGCCTGGTTCTTATGGTTTTGGTCACTGTTAGGTCTTGTAGTATTTGCAGCCAAAAGCACTCTACCTCAGAAGTTTCCCCTGGCCTGCAGGATAAGATCTACTCAGTTCTATACTATTAAAAGTCTTTTACTGGACTTGTTTCTAGACACAGGTAAAACAACAACAAAGTCTTTCCTAAGGTTGCCTTCACTGACACATACTAAACATAATAAACACATAATAAATAATAACTATAAGTTATTTTCGCCTCATTAACAAGCTCTCCATATTTTTTTTTTGCACTAGTAAATTTGAACTGCTCATAAACTCTACAAAGTTCACTCAGGTGTCCTATCTTTTGAACTTGCTCGTCGTGTTTTAAAACTTTCATTCCTCGCAGGTGCTGCTTCTGTCAAACATGCAAGCTTGTTAGATACTCCTTCTGCCAAGCATCATCCCTCTGCCTCCTTACCTGGCAAAGTTCCACCCACTCTGCACGCTTACCCTAAATCCTACCACATTTTAGAAGCTTGCATTCATTACCACAAATGTAAATGTGCCTGGAACATACTGAACATGATACATATGTAATAAATAGTAACTATAAGCTCCCAGGTGACACTGGACACATAGTAAGCACTATTTAAGGTGGTAAATAAATAACAGTGGTAATAACAATCTCCTAACTGTATTTTTTAAATGTATTTTGTAACATTGGAAAAATGCTTAGTCTATAAAAGATACATGATAGTTATTTTTTAAGTGGACAAGTATATGAATGAATTAAAATATTTTTCTTAAAAATTCTGTTAAAAAACACAAAAATTAGTTATCTATATTCTAATATTCTATTATGAGCACCTTAAAGACAAAAACTATGCCAATTCCATCTTTGTCTCGTGCATTTGCCAAACCTAACTTATAGAAGTGGTTTGATAAATATATACTAAATTAACGGTGTCTTTATACAGTTCAGATTGTACAACACATTAGGTGTTATACTTTTGTTATTGTGAACCATTTTTATAATTTTATTATAATTTAAAAAAATTTTTTGAGCCTAGAGTTTGGCTATTGGAATATTCATTATAATCATCTCTTGCCTAATGCTTACCAGAGTTTTTTTTTGTTTTTTGAGATGGAATCTTGCTCTGTCACCCAGGCTGGAGTGCAGTGGCACGTTCTCGGCTCACTGCAATCTCCATCTCCAAGGTTCAAACAATTCTCCTGCCTCAGCCTCCCGAGTAGTTGGGAATATGGGTGCCCACCCCCACGCCTGGCTAATTTTTGTACTTTTAGTAGAGATAGGGTTTCACCATGTTGGCCAGGCTGGTCTCAAACCCCTGACCTCAAGTGATCTGCCTTCCTTGGCCTCCCAAGTGCTGGGATTACATGCATGAGCCACCACGCCCAGCCTGGGAACAGATTATCTTGTCCCAACAAAATTACTATTATTATAATTATCCAGCACATAAAAAAACACAGCTTGTTCTAAGAAGTGAATATATCTCATGAGGTTCCAACTTATGGTGAATAAATTAAAAGTAGACCTTGTTTGTATAAGAATATGTAACATAACTTCTGCTTCTTGGGAAGGAATTAGTTTTCTATCTTCTGCATTCAGTAGGTATCTTCAGAAATAATCTCCTATTTGTATGGGTGCACAATGGCTCAGTTTTATGGTTCTTACTGCCATTTGTTTATGGTATCAGAAAGGGATTGTTGAATTCCCAGTTCTAAAGACAGTTACTTTCTTAGTGACACAAATTCCTGTGTAATACACTTGACCTTGAACAATAAGAGTTTGAACTGCAGGGGTCCACTTATATGCAGATTTTTCTTCTGCTTCTGCAACCAAGAGACAGCAAAACCAACCATTTTCTTCCTCCTCAGCCTAATTAACCTGAAGATGATGAAGATGAAGACCTTTGGGAGGATTCACTTATGTTTATGAATAGTAGGTATGTTTTTTTCTTTTCTATGATTTTTCTTTGTAACAGCTTCATTTCTCTAGCTTATTTGATTCTAAAAGCATAGTATATAATAGTGCAACACATACCAACTATGTGTTCATCGACTGTTTATGTTATCAGTAAAGTTTCCAGTCAACGGTAGGCTATTAGTAGTTACGTTTGGAAGGAGTCAAAGTTATACTCAGATTTTCAACTGCACAGGGATCAGAGTCCCTAACTCCCACAACATTCAAGAATCAACTGTAATTAAGATTTATTTACTAAATATAAACCATTTACCATAAAAATTAAATAGAAGATCCATTTGCATAACAAGTCCAATTTGTAACAATGTAATTATAGAGGAAAATGCAATATGTTAACTTAAAAATCTAATTTCTTATTTATATTAATACGAAAATATAATGTAGAATTTCAGGGATCATAAACAAATTTTTTTCAGAGAATACTGTTTGAGATTGAGAACTAACTTCTTAAATAACTGAATTCTAAAGAAATTAAATTTAAAAAATTAATTTATACATAAATATACATATTTTAAACTGCTCTTTTATGATTAAAAATACGTAATCTTACTTTTTTTGTTTTTTTTTGGAGAGAGAGTCTCGTTCTTTCATCCAGGCTAGAGTGCAGTGGTGCCATCTCAGCTCACTGCAACCTCCACTTCCTGGGTTCAAGTGATTCTCCTGCCTCAGCCTCCCAAGTAGCTGGGATTACAGGCGCCTGCCACCATGCCCAGCTAATTTTCATATTTTTAGTAGAGATGGGGTTTCACCATGTTAGCCAGGCTGGTCTCAAAATCCTGACCTCAGGTGATCCACCCGCCTTGGCCTCCCAAAGAGCTGGGATTACATGTTTGAGCCACCAAACCTGGCCTGTAGTTTTGCTTTTAAAAATCAGTAAGACCACCAAGAGAAATGAGAAATTTACTATCAGAAGTCTTACCTTGATTGTCATTTCGAAGATGATTTTTAAGTATCTTATTTTTATGTTCCAAAATTTGTTGTTGAATGCTATGCATAATAAATGTAATAAATAAAATTAGTATTTTAATAGTGATATGAAAAATATTTACCAAACATATTAAATTCTTAAAGCATTTCAGACAATATCAGAGCTAATATCAGAACTCTAATGTCCAATATACTTTAAAATTTTAAGCTGTATAAACTTATTAAGCTTCTAATTAAAGAAGAAAAACAGGAAGTACACATAAACTGAGAAAAGCATAGCTCAGTAAGTTAATTCTAGTTAGCTTAACGGCCTGGAAACTGTCCTGCACTCAGAGTAAGTCCTCGCTCTGTAACCAATAGGTATTTTGTTTTCAGACCGGTTGCTTCTCTTAGGTTCCATGGCTTCTTCTAAAAAACAAAGATTTTACTACTTGACTTCACTAGGTTGTTAGGAGGATGTAATGAGATAACATGTTTAAATGTTCAGAGAAATAGTAAAGCAATGGAAAAATTTATTCTTGAGCTGCATTGCTAGAACAATTTTGGAATCTCAAATAAAACCTGACAAGTGTTTTTTCATAGGTTCTAATATTTGAATGTCACAGTTTTCAGAGAATATTATTGAGTGTTAATTTTGGTTATTAGTTCTATTCATTGTGGCTTATAGTTCAGAGCATTTTAGCTAGTTCATAACTTGTAACTAAATTTATATATAAATATATTATTGTCTCATTAAAACATATAACCTAATTGTCCCTTATTACTGAGCTCATCAATCACACCAAGGGCAGAAAACTAATAGATGTCAAAACCTGGCTGGGACAACTACCATTCCTTCTCTACCTCCTCAAACTCAGAGTCAGAAGGTCTGTGTTAGAGGCTGCATCTTCTGGGTCCTCTCCGACTGACACACAAGATAAAGCCTTGCTTGTATTGTTTTTCAGTTCCATGAAAGAGATGCAAGTTGATGTTTCCTCATTTCCAAGTCATGTACTAACAACATATTTGCATGTAACATCCCATATGCCACTCAGTTCTGTTCTCATTTCACAGATCACCTTACATGAATACTTCTATAATGTTCATAATAACAATTTCCATATCAGGTGACTCTTGTTTTGGTTTGACTCACATTATTTCCTTGAAGCTAGTTAACAAATGGTCAAATGACCTTCTGGGGACTAGGCAACATATGGAATGCTTTCTGAATTTGTGTGCCATCCTTAGGCAGCAGGCATGCTTATCTGTTCTGTATTGATCCAATTTTAGAATATGTGCTGCTGAAACAAGTATAAAGCCCTGTTTTATACACGGATACTCAAAAGTCATGGATGAGGCTTAGCTCTGTTAAATTCAAATTACCTACTTTAGATACAGAGAATTCTGTTGAATGACTTTCTGTGAGGTAGAATTTTAAAATATTTTAAAAACTTGAGGTAGAGATGCAAATAGCCTGACAGATTTTCATTATTATGGAAACACATTACTTGAGGGGCCAACTCCAAGTTGGTGCCCATTACTCTATTGAAGGATAATGTGGAACATTCTGCTATCTAACAAAAGCTGCTACACGGGACAGAAAAAAGGCTCAAGGTACAGATGTGACAACAAAAGGCAAAGGGACCTCTGCTCTCTTCCTGCAACATTATTTGAACATCCCTGACTGTTGAGTACAATCCAACTAATATTTGCTAGAGAACAGATGGACACTGGTCTCAAAGGATAACATACCATGAAGGCATAGGCTAGGCCGAGCTAAGACACGGGCTACAAATAAGGTTTTTAGTATTAGGGAAAAGGTCAATTTACTCACTACATGTGTGGGTAAAGCTAGGAGGCCTCTCTGCCACAGCAGGGTGCTGGGAACAATGGCTGAGCCTATGTACATGAACTAAAAAACACTGTAGCTGTGGACACTGTGTATGAGTCATCATGAAGAGTGAGGGATCTGAATCAGTAAGGGCATCCTGGTGCCAAAAGTCAATCATTACCAGATTGCAGGAGAAGTTACAATGGCAGCAATACAGGAAGTGAATCAATGGAAACGACAGAATGACTAGAATGGCCTTTTCCCCCCTTCTTCTGACTTGTAAAGCAAGATTGTCTTCCTTGGACTTAGGAAACCCCTTAGCTTTTTGAAAAATCCAAAGGAGGAAGGCACAAGAGAGAGCCCCAGGGAATAAATACAAGATTTTCTGCTAAACTGGACATTTCAAGACCCAACAATTAATTTGGAAAGTCAGGCCAGCCATGGTGGCCTTTGCGAGGCCGAGGCAGGAGAATCACTTGAGCTCAGGAACATGGGCAACATAGTGAAACTTTGTTTAAAAAAAAAAAAAAAAGAAAGAAGAAAGAAAAAAAGAAAGTAAAAGATGTGACATTATTTATGTCTCACATAACAAGGGTAATACTTGGAATGAAATGAACAACACTGAGATCCCTAGGGATAAAGGTCTTCAAAGGTTCTGAAAGAATCTTGCACTCATTGCTACTTTTAACTAGTCTAGCTTTCTGTTTGATTTCTGGCTAAAAAGTGGACTAACTTGTTGCCATTCCAAACTACCTCAACCAAACTATGAACTCTCACCTAATGTATAAGATGCAATATTTGTAATTATTTTAAACCTTAATGTAGTATTAACCTAACATAAACATATACCTTCTCAAATCACAACAAACAGCATAATCCTCAGCAGTTTGGCCAAACATGTCTTGAGAAAAGATATTTATATTTTGCTGAAGGAGGAGGCTGACGATACTTGATGAGCTATGCTGCACAGCAAGCATGAGGGCTGTTCTAAAACAACAAAGAAATAACAGCACTCAAGAACTTTAATAAAGATATTTAATTAGCAAATTGGATACACTTTACCGATTTCATATCTTGCCTCTCAGGATAGACACAATAACCATTTACATGTACTAGCTTATGTGTATAAGCATCTTGGGTGCTCAAGTGTTCATCTTGGTAAATTACCACCAAGGCTAGAAGGCAGGGACAATAAGGAAGCTTCTTGTCCCACTGGGATATGACATAATACAAGCTCTTAATTTATAATCCTTTGATGGCCAAGAAACTGTGCTGAGGTCACTTATCTAAAGTAGGCAAAGATTTAGATGAAGATTTCCCCATTGTTTTCCTAGTCTGATATATTGTAATTCAAAGTCATCTAGGGATCAAACAAGTAAGAGCCATCTGCAGGCTGAAAACAACAGCAACAACAACAACAATAATAATAATAATAGTAATAGTAGTTGTTGTAAACTGAAAGTTAAAGTCTATGCTTTATAAAATTAAGAAAATACAAAACCCCTTTAGTTATTATGATTACAGGACCAAAAACATCAGATTACAAATAACAGTCTATAAGAGAAGATGAATCCTACTATACACTGTTTTTGATGTTGCTCAGTCCAAATAACTGCTTTTCTACCTAACTGATTATTTGTATCATTTTTTACTATATGCCAATAATTATAAATGAATCTTATTAACATTTCTTACTTGAGTTACCACTCTAGAACACTCAGGTTTTTAGGAAATAAACAAAAAACAACAAAAAAAACCAAAAACTATTGCACCTTCTGAAATTGTCAATGGCATGTATATTTGCCTGGTTCTTCAATAAAAATTCCACCATTTGCTGTCTCCTAGAATTTATAGCAAATAAAAGTGGAGTGTTTCCCTCCTGTAAGAAAGCAAAAACAATTTATAAATCACAAAATTATATATTTCTCAACTGAACTAAAAATCTTCTATAAGATGCTATGAACTTAAACTTGCAATATAGAAAGAAAGTAAATGCAAAGCAGTCCCTTCCTTTTCACTCCTCTGTGCTTTCCCACACACTGCCTTGCAAACACCCCTCACCCCTCCTCTGCCTCCCCACATTAACTTCGGTCATCTCCAAAACTCACTTTCTTTACCAGTCCCAAAAATCCTTGCTTCTATCTCAGCATTTAGCACAGTATATTGTAATTATTTCATTGTTTCCCACTGAAACCAAGAGCTTCTTGAGGGCAAGGGCTGTATCTTTTTTCTCTATAACCCTAAAACCTAAGACGTAGTAGCAAATGCTTTAAGTTTTTAAAATAAATTAATGATTTAAATTATCTCTAGAGCAGTGTTTCTTAAACTATATTTCAAAGAATATTTGTTTTACCAGAAGAACTGTACCCCAACAAAAAGGTTCCATGATCATCTGCATTTGAGAAGTATTACAAAACTGTATTACATGGCCAAAAATCTAGAAATCCCTTGAACTTTGCCTAATCTCAATTTGACAATACTTTTTGTGGCAAACATTAACACTTTAGGAACTAGAGTTTCAGGGACACAGTTGTCAGAGCTTCGCAATACAAGTGTAGGTTTCCCCTGGGTGGCACAAACTTGCTTGATTCACTTGTATCAATGGTGTCAGGATGTCAATGTCAGGCACTCCTGATGCAAAGGGGCCACTAAAGAAATGAGCTCTGAATTAAGAGAGATTGGCTTCAAATGCACTTATTTTCCTTACTATTAAATAGTGCATGGGATTTTTCCTAATACAAGAGGATAGATTTTTATCTTAACTTAGAAAGTTCAGCATGTTCTGTGTAATATAGACCAGTTAAAAATTTTTGAAAATAAATATTAAAAAGCAAAGCTCAGTAAGAAATTTTATTCTCAATTATAATGATAATTCTGGGATGCTAATGCAACTTTACTTTTTAAATCCATTTGTACTGGTTTCCATTTAAACTGCTATTTAACATTATTTTTTTACGTTAGGCAAAATATAAAGCAGAAATAAAAATACAATGGCCTCTCAATAAAAGTTCTAATACTGATGTATAGGGTTTATTTCTAGAATAACAAAAGCCAGTAAGTCACTTGCTTTTTTGTTGTTTGTTTTGAGACGGAGTCTCACCCTGTCGCCCAGGCTGGAGTGCAGTGGCATGATCTCCCCTCAATGCAAGCTCCGCCTCCCGGGTTCACGCCATTCTCCTGCCTCAGCCTCCCAAGTAGCTGGGACTACAGTTGCCAGCTAATTTTTTGTATTTTTAGTAGAGATAGGGTTTCACCATGTTAGCCAGGATGGTCTGGATCTCCTGACCTCGTGATCTGCCTGCCTCGGCCTCCCAAAGTGCTGGGATTACAGGTGTGAGCCACCGTGCCCAGTCGTCACTTGCATTTTTAAGGGACATTGCTGAGAAGAAAGATATAATGTCTACAATATTCATAATCTGTCCACTTCTCAGTAGGCATAACCTAAAAAGGCTTCTAGGAATTCTTATGAGCGGATGACTATTTGTGGTATAGATATAAAAAAAGAATTAAAACTTCTGAATTCTAAAATCCAACTCTATAATTGAGGGATTTATATAAACTATAGACTATATATTATGAACCAATATATGCTATCTTGAAAAACTTGATATCTTTATGAAAATATACTATAAAAAAGGAGTTGTAAACTCAAATACTTGTAAGGATGAAGGAGGTTACCTAAGTAAGTGAAGTACTCAGGTGGGCACAGTAGCAAACTGGAGAATATGTGTCTCCTACACAGGGCAACCTCTGCACAGCAGACCAAGCACTGATGCAGTTCAGGGGACACCAGATTTGATTCTTAAGCCTGAGGTCCAGATTTCTGCATGAGTTTACTAAATTTTACATGTTGACTCAATTTAAAGAGGCAAAGAACAAATCTATGTGCCACATGTAGACTATAGCCCTTGTGTTTTTATATTTGCTATGAATGTGTTACTAAATGATTGTGTATAAACCAAGTATTTGCATGTGGAACTTTTTCCTTCTCTAGTATCATATGTTTAATAAAAAAACTCAGGCCCTGAAATATACATAATAAAAATTGCTGTTAAGACTCGTAATACCCACCTCAAGAATTTTCCCAACATTTATTCATTTGCAATCTATGTGTATATCATTTTCCCAGATTGTTAACCAAATAGATAATTAGTTCATAGGACTGCTGAAACTAAATTATTAAAAGAATTTCTATTGTATTCTCACTGACTTCAAGAATTTCAGTGTTTAAAACTGACATCCTGATTATGCCAAAGCTCTATAAACTTAACAGACACACTGAGATAGTCCCTAACACAACTTCAACTGAAAAAAAAAAAAGGTTCAGGATTTGTTACTAATCTAATTGAGAAAATCTCACTTGTAATGAACATTTGTTGACACATAATCACTAGAATGGTGACAGAGGAACATGAAATTGTGAAAGGGTCAGCCTCTACTTATTGAAAGATTACCCACAAGCAAATTGCTTAAGACTCTCTGAATGGCAGTGAATGATTCATGGTGGGAAGGAAAGAGTGTTATTCTGTAAGCTGAGAGCTGTTGCCAATGATATTTCCTTTCACTTCCCAGTCACGAACATAGAGAAAGACAGATAAGTCAGGCTAATGTTATTGGAAAGGAGAACTTTGAAGAAAGTAGCACCTATCAAATGCCAACTCTTTTAGAGATTTCTTATGTCTTTAAGATATGGGAATTTATATACTGCACTTATCTATTCTGTGCTTCTTAATCAGGAGTGTATTCGAATGCTGAGGTATTTGTTTTTGCTCTTGTTGTTGTAAGAGACAAGATTTTTGGATTGGTGCCATGTTCCAGGAGAATAATTGCACAAGCCTCTTCCTGGCAATGTACAGCCTATTCGTGTAAGATAAAAAATTAGACTATAAATTCTAAGGGGCAGGCGGATCACGAGGTCAGGAGATCCAGACCATTCTGGCTAACACGGTGAAACCCTGACTCTACTAAAAATACAAAAAATTAGCCGGGTATGGTGGCGGCACCGGTAGTTCCAGCTACTTGGGAGGCTGAGGCAGGAGAATGGTGTGAACCTGGGAGGCAGAGCTTGCATTGAGGGGAGATCATGCCACTGCACTCCAGCCTGGGCAACAGGGTGAGACTCCGTCTTAAAACAAACAAACAAAAATTACTATGTTTCTCAGGCTGGACTCAAACTCCTGGGCTGAAGCAATCCTCCCACCTCAGCCTCCTGAGTAGCTGGGACTACAGGTACATGCCATTGTGTATGACTTCAAGAAAATATTATTAACCATACATGTTCAGAACTTATTAGATCTATTACATCAAAAACCTCAGGGGAAAGCCTACACTTGTAGATTTTTAACAAAATTTCCCCAGGTCACTGTAATGCACAATTCTAGCTGAGAATTACTGCAGCAGACAATCACTTCCGTTTCATCTCTCACCCACACGGCCAGTATCCTTTATCAGTTGGGATGTGGCCAGAAAGAGAAGAGTATGAGATACAGTTTTTTATTAAAACTCCAGTTAATTTTCCTGGGTGTGGGTATAACAGGGACAAGTAAACTCAAAATCCCAGTTGATTTTGCTATTTATAAGTTCCTTATCTCCCACCTTCCCACCAAGATATTCTAGATTTGAGAGTTTAGACTCTTATCTAAGTGGCTGTTTTTGCCAGGATGGGTAATAGTCAGTTACTAATTTGTTCCACCCTTTGCTGAAGTGTTTCTCACTTCATCACCATCTATTCACTGCCAATCTGGTTTCCTCAGAGTCCTCTAAAAATTAATCTTTAGGCAAGTTTCAATCACTCTGCTTACCAAACCAAAAATGATTACCCCAAAGCTGAAGAGCACTTTGTCTCAATACATAAACTGGAAAAACAACAAACTAAAAAACAAAACCTCTTCTTGGCATTTTCCCTCATTACCTAATTTCCAAGTGACCTGCATGTTTTTGATTGCTCCCCTTTTCCCTTCCCATTTTTCCCTCTTAAACCTTACCAATGAAAGATACATCCTTTTTTTTAGAAAACTGTCAGCAGCAGCAAGACTTCCATTTATTGTAAGTTGCTTTAGTTTTGAGTTTTAAGATAAAACCTGTTTCCAGGGTAATTTTTTTCCTGTGATTTTTAAAATACTAATTAGAAAAAAAAAAATACACCTGGGGTAGGAAATAAATATTTGAAAAGAAGTTTTACCTTAACAAATTCACAAATATTTCCCATAAGTGCACTAAAAAAGCTGTGCCCTCTAATGCTTCTTTAAAAGTATCAATATTTAAAATAAAATTTTAGACAATTATTTCAAAATATTTTTATTCAGAAACACTTGAGTTCCAAATATGAAAAACTGACTCTTAACTATGTCAATGGTAAAACAAACATTTTGAAAAGAAAGTTGATTGATCTATACCTCATTTAGTGCTTCAATATTTGCATGGTGGGAAAGCAGTTTCTCTGCCAGTGAAGTCCCCTTATTATACACAGCATAATGGAGAGCAGTGTTGCCGTAGATATCCTTAATGTTTGGATTGGCGCCATGTTCCAGGAGAATAATTGCACAAGCCTCTTCCTGGCAATGTACAGCCTATTCGTGTTAGATAAAAAATTAGACTATAAATTCTAAGAATTCCAAATACATATTCCACAGGTTTCACCAACTAGTTATATTTAAATGAGATAAATTCATTTTAACTCTATGTATTTAAATCAAATCCATTTCATGCTGAAAGAGTTGACTACTATATACCTTCATTAACGGTGTCCTGTTTAGTCTGTCACAGATGTCGATCTGGCAACTTCTGCTCAGCAAGAGAGTGACCACTTCCACACGGCCATGGGCACAGGCCAAATGTAGAACAGTCCTAGGAGAGTGAGAGGAGATTTCAGGAAATCGTAGTGCAATATCTCAAAACCTACAATGGTTCATGTAATTGTAAACACTGAATGGCAGTTATTCCTCTGCCTTCAAAACAAATAATTTTCTTTTGAAGAAAGTACCATATTTATTAGCTCTTAACTGCTCCCTACCTTAATGGAACAGCAGCCTATCTGGATAGAATGAGCTTGGTGCTTGGATTCAGTTCAACTAGGGCTTGAGTTCTACTTTGAACTCAGTCACATACCAGCTATTGCTTAACCTTTCTGTGCCTCAATTTTCACATTAATAAAATAAAGATGACAATGGCAGCTAGCTCACAGGACACCATTATGATGCTTAAATGAAAATCTATGTAAAGCATTTAGAACCATTTCCAGAACAAGCAACAACTCAATAACTGTTAGATTTTTTGTTTGTTGAGACAGGGTCTTGCCCTGTTGTTCAGGCTGGAGTGCAATGGTGTATTTATGCCTCACTGCAGCCTGAAACTCATAGGCTCAAGCAATCCTCCTGCCCTAGCCTCCTGAGCAGCTGGGACCACAGGAGCACACCAGCATAATCAGCAAATTTTTAAAACTTTTGTGTAGAGTAGGAATGTCACTTTGTTGCCCAGTCTGGTCTCAAACTCCTGGCATCATGGGAACTTCCCACCTCAGGCTTCCAAAGTTCTGGAATAACAGGTGTGAGCCACACACCCAGCCAGGTGTTATAATTATTACTATTACTACTACTTAACAAAAACATTTTAATTAAGTAAAATGACACAATTATTGCTATTTTGCAGGATGATTTAAAGGTTAGGTCACATTTTAGCATATCTGATATTGGAATGGCATTTATAATTCATAATTTTTTATAATTGGTAGCATTTTAAAAGTCATCTTATTAATATAGAAAATAGTAGGGTATTACACAATCCATGAGGCCTTACATTAAGTAGAATACAGTATACACAGCAGGTCTAGGGCAGTTCTAGGCATCTAATTGACACTTAAATACATTTTAATTCCTAAAAGTACTATGGGGAACAATCACTGAAGTAACAACATATTTTTTAAACAAATTACTTCTTATTTTGATTTTTAAAAACATGAATCTAAAGAAAACTAATGATTGAGATGAACAGGTATGGCTCATTTTAGTCAACACTTAGATTTACAGAATATATGCAAATCAGACTTTCCAATTATTAATAATAGAATTTAAGACTGATAAATTTTCAAAAGGACAGTTAAAGGTTATCTCTTACTGTTTTCTACCTTCAGAAATGCTTTTGCTTGAAAGGTGGGAGGACAAGCTTCAGTGAGATTAAGTCCTACTATTCCCATTTTAAATCTCTCATCTTGCTCAGGTAGAACAGGTAAACATAAAGGTTTTAAGTATGGAAGGGTCCTGAGAGACAGTGCAAAATGTCTGCTACATAACAGGTTTTCAGATTATGTTTGATGAATAAATGGATAGAATACAGTTGGGGAGCCCAGTATTTTTAAATACAACTTCTATAAACCAATATTTTCGTGATAGTAATAATATTTGCTGTTTGTTATTTTTATAAGACTACAACTATAATGAAATGATTAATCTATCATTGTTTGCATATGCACATATGTAATGAATCTATACATAAGAAAAACATATATACATAAAAAATATATACTACAATAAAATCTGCAAGCACAGATAAAAAGATTCCCTTTTTATTTCTGAAGAAGCTAAAAGTTCAAACAAGATAACAACTCTCAGTAATATAAAATAGTGAGAAATTATTTTTATTTGTACAAGATTCATATTTCTCTCTTCCCAAATATTATTCTATTAATAAATTTTTACTAGAAGTTTCATAAATGCTCACTTCAGAAATCAAAGGTAAGAAAAAGGAACAAAAGACTTTAAAATACAAATGCTCAGAAGTTACAAATTTTATCCTATTTTGTACATAATTTTGGCTAACACAAGACCATAGTATGTTTGTGTGTATGTGCAAGCAAACTGATTTTTTTTTCCTCACTGGCTATAACAAAATACATCTTCACACATCAACATACTTCTCGACCTACAGCCACCTTCAATGGCCACATATCCATTCTATCGGTTCTTAACATAAATGCTGAGAAAAACAAAGTGCATGTATCTCTATTTTCTAAAGGTATTTTAATACAATGGAATTGATGGACAAAGGGCATATACATTTTTAAAATGTGGTAATTATCTCCAAATTATCCACTTGAAAAGTCATCAGCAACTTAAACTTCAAGCAGCAGTATAAGTACCACTGCTCTTTATTCTCACAAACATTGTGGATAGAAAAAAGTCTCATTCCTCTTTCAACTTAAATTCTCTTATGAGAAACACTAAGGATTTTTTCCTATGTACATAAGTAACTTGTGGATCTGCAAAAAAGTACTTTGCTCACTTTTAGAGTTCTTTTCTTGTGGATTTGATTGGAAAGAATTCCCTGTAAAATAAAGATGTGTTTTTTATCTGTATATATCTGATATATATAGATAACATATTAGTAATATATACAATTTGTTATATATGTAATCAGTAAATATGTTATATATGTACTCATAAAATATCATATTATAAAGAATAAAGTCCCTGTAGGATGAAGATACACTTTTCAGTTGAATATATATTTTTATATATTAGTAAAAATATATACAGTAAATTTTTTCAAGTGTGTTATCTTCTGTTAATTTTTTTCTGATACACAGGGGATTTTAATTTTTAGTTTGCTAAATCAACTTTCAGAATGCCTGCTTGCAAGGTCATTCTTAGGAAGGCCTTTGTTAACGTGAAATGTACCTTTATAAATAAGTCTTTGTGTTTTGTTCTGGTACTTTTCTCATTTTGCTATGTAAAAATTTCAGTCTAAATTCCATCGGGAACTCATTTTTGTGACATAAAGTTTCATTAGTTTTCTTCACACAGCAGGCATTTTATTAATAACTCATCCTTTCCTACTTATCTGAAATGTTACCATTATTAATCCCTATGCATATATCTTGCATATATTTCAGTGTTTTTGGATTTCCTATTCTGTTCCATTTATTTGTGTTTTCGGCTGTTAGTAAATAATTAATTGTGGGAATTAATAGCACGTTTTGATATCTAGAGCAAGTCTTTTCACTCCATTATAAACATTTTTAAAAGTCATCACAATAGTAAGACAGCAAGTGTCATGCACAAATCATAAAACCTTGATATTTTAATTCAGTTTATGTAAAACTGATAAACATATTAAGAGCTCACATTTTGAGAAAACTGAGTCTTCCCATTCAAGGAACCCACGTCCCACTTCCAAGTGTCCCTCTAAGAAGCCACAGTAAAGAACCTATCTACCTAGGTGGATTCGGATGTGAAACCAACCGACATAGGGTTTTATCTGAGAACTCTTCACCTACTGAAAATGGCTCCTGGTATTTTTGACATGGGAATGAGTTCTCATTAGGCATTTCCCTATCATGTATATGACCCTGTGTTTTAAACGTGTATATGCTTAACTTCGTGAGTTAAATCACTCAAATTCTCCACCAAGCGCTGCAGGAGGGTAATTGCCAGTGATGGAAAGCAGCTGAGGCTCCACTTGGCTCCGCGGCTCCGAGGGTCCCGGAGCCCTCCAAGGTCTGGGCTGCAGGGAAGCCGGGCCTGGGGCCCCCTCCCACCGCGGGCTGAGCCCCCGCTACCTGTCCTTTCTGTCGCGGGCGTCCACGTCCCGAAACCGCCTCAGGCAGCGCTCCACCTCCGCGGCGTCGCCCTTGATGGCCGCCCTGTGGATCTTCCGCAGTTCCCAGTCCAGGGTGTGGTACCCGCGACCCGCGTACTCTTCGTCCCTGGAGCTCAGGAGCATCTGGCCCAGGCGTCTCCCGAAGCTGAAGAGCCTCCTCATGGTGGCGACTTCTCAGACGCCCACAACCCGCTCCTGAGCCGCCGCGGCCCCTCGTGGCCTTTCCACCCCCACCCAGTCCCAAATCCGCGATCCCCCCACCAACCCGCGATCCACCCCCAAATCCAAGATCCACCCCCAAACCCGCGATGTAGCTCAGAATCCGCGATCCAGCCCGGTCCACCACAGCCTTCAGCAGCGACACTCGCAGCCTCCGACCTCTCAGACCGAGCGAGCCCCGTCAAGCCGTTAGGCGCGTGCCTGCAGCTCAGCGCTCCCACCTCTCAGACCGAGCGAGCCCCGCGAAGCCGTTAGGCCGGCGCCTGCAACTCAGCGCTCCCACCTCTCAGACCGAGCGAGCCCCGTCAAGCCGTTAGGCGCGTGCCTGCAGCTCCGCGCTCCGACCTCTCACACCCAGCCAGCCCCAGCGAAGCCGTTGGGCGCGTGCCTGCAGCTCAGCCCTCCGACCTCTCAGACCGAGCGAGCCCCGTCAAGCCGTTAGGCGCGTGCCTGCAGCTCAGCGCTCAGACCTCTCAGACCGCGTGAGCCGCGCGAAGCCGTTAGGCGGGCGCCTGCAGCTCAGCGCTCCCACCTCTCAGACCGAGTGAGCCCCGCGAAGCGTGCGGCTCAGCGCCAGCCGGGACTCCGGAAGCCGCTCTCAAGCCCGCGTGACCGGAAGGGGGCGGCTGCAGCTCGAGCGCAGGCGCCGCTGGTTTGCGGGTTCTCCTAGGCTCGCGCGGGACGTCCCGGAATCGCAGGCGCGAAGCCCGTCTGGCCTGAGGGTCCGCATGGCGGTGACTCCTGCCTCGCTCCTCCAACGAAGAGAGATCCGGGCCGCTGACAGGAGCCCTCCGCAGCCACCAGGGTTGGGGCTGGGGTTCGATTCCCGCCCTGGTGCAGCGCCCGCCGGGCAAACCGCCTGACTTGGGAGCAGACAAGGCGACATCTAGCCCCAGGTCTGCGAGGCTGGGAGCGCCAACCAGCTTGGGAGTTGCCAGGCAGCTGTCGCCAGCAGGTAGAGGGCGCCTGCAGCTTGGGCGCCCAGGTGGTGGAGCATGGCCTGGGCGGCCTCTGGATCGCGAGTGCACCTGGCCTGAGAGCCCGCCAGGCCCTGCCCCCGCCGGCTCCTGCTCTGCCGGAGCTCGGGACCTCTAGCTCGGGACCTCTAGCTAGGGGCCCTCTGCAGCCACCTGGGATGGGGCTGAGGGCCGGTTCCCACCCCTGTGCTGCCGCCGCAGGGCAGACCGCCTGGCTTGGCCGCAGCCACAGGGACATCTGGCCCCGGTTCTGAGATATGGGGAGTGCGGGCGGGGTCGGGGATTGCCTGGAAGCTGCTGCCTGCACACAGAAGCCGGCTGTAGCTTGGGTGCCCAGGCGGTCTGGAGGTGCATGACCTGGTCTGCCTCGGGATCGCCAGCGCGCCCAGCCTGAGGCCCCCGGCCATGCCTCCCGCCCCACTCCTCCACAGGAGGGAGATCGGGGTCGCTGGCATGGGCACTTGGCAGTCACCCGGATTGGGGTTGATGAGGGGTTCTCAGTTCTCGCCCCTGTGCAGCCGCCGCCGAGCAGAATGCCTGGCTTGTCCGCAGCCACTGGGACACCTCGCGGGCTGGGCGGGCCGGAGGGTGAGATCGCTGGGAGGCGGGTGCCTTCTCGCCCTGTGACGCCTCTGGGCCCCAGGGGTCGGCCTCCGGCGCACAGGGCTCCCCAGCATCCTGGACGCGGGTCCACTGCCCGCATGAAGTCACCTCAGAGAGGATGAACTTCGGGTTGCCTTGTCCGGCTGTGCTGCCAGGCGGGGCAGCTGACCTGCTGATGAAGTGGCTTTCTTCATCTTCTTGCCCACGGGACAGCGGGCTGGGAAGCCAGGGGCCGCCGGGACCTGGGGCTGGAAGCCGCATCTGCCCACAGCCGCAGCCTCCTGCACCTGCCATCCTGGTGGCGCCCTGGCGTCGGAGAAGCAGCAGGCGCGGAGCTCCTGCAGCTGCACCCCTGCAGCAACCCGTCCCGGCGCAGGCGGCAGTGGAAGGCGGCCTCCTCGCACAGCTCCTGCAGCCCCAGGACCAGGGGTGCGGCCAGCACCGCCCTCACCCCCCGCGTCTCGTGGACATTAGTCCTCCCTGGAGGCGGCCGGACCCGAGCGAGGCTCGCAGCGATCGGCCCCCGCGAGGACGCGCATGCAGGGCTCAGGATCCCGCACTCTGGTCCTGCGGCACCTTTCAGCAGCCCTGCTCCTCCTCTTGTTAAACTTTCGTCACTGCCATGAAAAGCATCCAGGCGTCCTTGATTTCGACGCTGCGTCACGCTCAGCCGAGCTCATCGGACCGGCGGTTCTTCCCAGGGCCCGCGGGCAGCTTGTTCCCGGGCGGCGGCTTCTCCTGGACGCAGCTCCTTGTGGGCCCACCAGACTCCGGGGAGCCAAGGCCTGCCGCGGCCAGCAGGCCTGGGGAGAGGAAGAGTAAGGCGGGCTCTGCAGGGAAGCGGGCGGGGACCATGAGAGAGGCGGGTCACTCTGGGCTCCAAGCGCAGCCTCTTGGGATTCCCCGGGACCCACGGCTTATAATGCGCTTAAATCCCACGCCTCGCCGGACAGACAGCGCGTCATCGTCACCGCCCAGCGCTCCTGACCTGCTCCCACTCGCGCTGCAGCCCAGGGTGTGTGGGGGAGAGACGGACCCAGGGAGGGAAAAGCGCTGGGAAGGCGAACATCTTTTCATAAACTTTTCCCCTTCTATATGCCATCTCTGATGGGAGCCTCTTTACATCTTTTGTTTATTTACTAATTGGGTTGTTTGATTTCTTATTGTTGAGTTGTAAGTGGTTTTTAATGGTCTGGATGCAAGACAAGGGTTTTGCAAGTATTTTCTCCCTGTCTGTGACTTGTTTCTCCATTCTCTTAATATTTCCTTTCGCAGAGCAAAAGTTTTTAATTGTAACGAAGTCATACCAATATCTTCTTTCATGGTAAAATGTGCTTTTATGTACTTTAGTGTTGTATCTACAAAGTAATTGCCAAATCCAAAGTTACCTAAATATCTATTCTTTTTGTTATTTTACAGAAGTTTTACAGCTTTTGGATTTAAATTTAGGTCTAAAAATTGAACTCGTAAAAGTAGAGAGTATAATGATGTTTACCGGAGGCTGTGTTGCTGGGGAGAAAAAAAATGAGAAGTTGTTCACAGGTGCAAAGATTCAGTTAAACAGGAGAAATGCGTTTTGAAATCTATTGCACAGCAGGATGACTATAGTCAATAATAATGTACTGTATATTTCAAAAAAACAAAAAGTAAATTTCAAATATCTAACCACAAAAAAATTGAGGTGATGGATATTTTATCCTTGATGTAGTCATTCCTTATTTTATACACATATCCAAGCATCACATTGTACCCCATAAATGTATGCGATTATGGTTTGACAATTAAAAATATTAACTTAAAAATGTATCCTTCGAGTTAATTTTTGAGGAGCAAGGTCTGTGTCTCAATTCCTTTTTTTTTTTTTTTGCATATACGTATGTATAATACATGAAATGGATTCATCACTGTTTTTGAAAAAGCTACCCTTTCTCCATTGAACTGCTTTTACCTTTTTGTAAAAGATCAATTGACTGTGTTTGTGGGCTATTTCTGAGTTCTCTATTCTGTTCCATTGATCACTTTGCAAGTCCTTGAACTTTGTTCCTCCCCTACAATATTGTTGGCTATTCTGGTTGGTTTGTCTTTCTTTATAAACTTTAGAATTAGTTTGTCAGTTTCCACACAATAATTTGTTCATGCTTTCACCAAAGTTGTATTCAATTTATAAATCACATTGAAGAGAATTGACATCTTAACAACACTGAGTCTAATTTTGTGAACATGGATGTCTCTTCATTTATTTAGATCTTTAATTTCTTTCAACAGATTTTATAGTTTTTCTCACATAGACCCTGCCTGTATTTTGCTAGATTGTGTCTATTTCATTTTCTTGATGCCAATGAAAATGGTATTGGGCTTTTAATTTCAAATTCTCATTGTTCATTGCTGGATGTAGGAGAGCAATTGATTTTGTATATTAACCTTATACTGTGCAACCTTGCTATAATCCAGAAGGGTTTTTGGCTGATACTTTGAGATTTTCTACATAGAAAATCAATTTATCAGTGAGCAAAGGGCATTTTAATGCTCCCTTTCCAATCTTTATACCTTTTACTTTATTTTATATTCTTGTCTTATTGCATTAGCTAGGGTTTTAGTATGATGTTGAATAGGAGCAGTGAGAGGGGATAACTTTTCCTTATTTTTTGTGTAAAACATCCCATTTTTCATATTATGTATGATATTGTCTGTAGGGTGTTCTTGTGGTGTATGTTCTTTATCAGTTGAGGAATTTCCCTTCTATTTCTAGTCTGCTGAGAATTTTAACCATGAATGGGCTTTGGAGTCTATAAAATGCTTTCTTAATCTATTACTGTGATCAAATAACTTTTCTTTTTTAGTTAGTTATGTGATAGATTGCCTTAACTATTTTGTGTTAAGCCAGGCTTGCATACCTAGAATAAATCTCACTTGGTCTTGGTGTGTAATTCAACAATGTATTGCTAGATTCAGCATGGTAATATTTTGTTGAGAATTTTTGATGAGAGACATTTGAACATTTGTTTTTCCTTAAATGTCTTTTTCTGCTTTTGATATTAGAACTTCATAGAATGAGTTGGGATATGTTCCTTTTGCTTCTGATTTTTGGTAGCAATTATAAATAATTGATATCTTTTCTTCCTTAAATGTTTCATACAATTCGCTAGTGAAATGATCTAGGCCTGTTGCTTTCTTTCTTGGAAGATTGTTAATTATTCATATATTTCTATACTAGATAAAGAGTTATTTGAATTATCTATTTCTCCTTTTGTAAGTTCTATGGACTAAATTTTTGTGTCTCCCCAAAATTCATGTGCCAAAACCAATCCTCAGTGTGATGGTATTTAGGTATTTGAGGTCCTTTGAAAAGTGATTAGGTCATGAGGTTGGAGCCCTCATAGGTGGGATTAGTAGTTTTTTCTAGAAAGGTTCCTCACCCCTTCTGTTATGTGAGAACGTATTGAAAAGATGGCTTCCATGAGCCAGAAAGTGACTCCTCAGCAGACATGAAATCTGCTGGTGCCTAGAATTGATCTTGGATTCCCCAGCTTCCAGAAATACGAGAAATAAGCTTCCGTGTTTGTGAGCCACCCAGTTTATGGCATTTTGGTATAGCATCCTGAACAAACTAAAAGAATTTTGGTAGTTTGTGTCTTTCAAGATATGGATCCATTTTGTCCAGGTAATCAAATTTGTGAGCACATAGTGTTTATACTATTCATTTATTATCCTTTTAATGCCGGTGGCATCAATACTGATAACCTTTCATTTCTGATACTAGTAATTTTTGTCTTCCGTCTCTGTTTCTCATTTGTCTCCTCTCCTTCATTTCCCATCCCCTTTCTTCCTCTTCTTCTTCCCCTTCTCCTCCTCCTCCTTTTCTTCCTTCTCCTCTTCCTTCTTCTTCATTGTCTTCTTCTTATCCATTAGATTATATAAAAGTAAGCAAAATAGAGATTTTATTTTACCTTCATGTATTCCTTCTCTAAGCTCTCCTTTCTTTATGTAGATCCAAATTTCTTATAATTTTTCTTCCTCCTGAAACTCTTCTTTGAAATTTTTTACAAAGTAGGTCTACTCATGACACATTTCCTCAGTTTTTGTTTGTAAGAGAAAGTATTTTTTCTCCTTCACTTTTGAAGGATAATTTTGCTAGATACAAAAATATCAGTTGATTGTAGTGTTCTTTCAACACTAATATGATATTTCACCTTACTGTCTTTTGATTGGATGGTTTCTGAAAAGAAGTCTTATATAAATCCTATTCTTGCTTCTTATAATCAAGTATTTTATTCCATTCTCTTTCAACAATTTGTCTTTGATTTTCTGAAGTTGAAATATAATTTTCATATGTGTATAGATTTTTGGTATATTTCTGGACTTCCTGTATTTGTTGTTTCAACACTTAATGTTGGAAAATTCTCAGTCAATATTACTTCAAATACTTGTCTGCATTTTGTCCTCTTTATTCTCTTTCTAGCAATCCCATTGTGCATGTGCTACATGCTACAACAATTATTGAATATTCTGTTCTTTTTTTCTGTTGTTTTCTCTTTGCATGTCAGTTTGGGAAGTCTCTATTGACATATCTTCAAGATGACTGATGTTGTTCTTGACCGTGTTCAGTTCACTGATAAACCTGTTGAGGACATTCTTCATTTCTGTTGCAGTGTTTTGTTTTCTAGCATTTCCTTTTTTCTTTTTCTTTTTTTTTTTTTAAGAAAAAGAGTTTATGTCACTGAGACTGGAGTACAGTGGTATGAACATAGCTCACTGTAGCTTCAACATCCTAGGATTTAGGAATTCTCCCACCTCAACCTCTGGTACCACAGGCATGTGCCACTATGCCTGGCTAGTTATTTGTTTTTTTTATTTTTATTTTATTTTTTGAGAGAAGGGTCTTATTTTGTTGCCTATGCTGGTCTTAAACTCCTGGACTCAAGCAATCGTCCTGCCTCAGCCTGGGATTATAGATGTGAGCTGGGATTACAGATGTGAGCCACTGCACCCAGCCAAAATGGATACATTTAAAATATACTCTTTTTAATGTAAATGGAAGATGGAGAATTGCTATGAGTATTTCATTAATATTTTGTGAGAAGCCTAATAAAAATAAAATTTCCTGTGAGTATACCTCACCCCTCCAAATGTTGAGCCACTTCTCCAAGGAGCAGTTCTTTGGCTGATATTTGGTGTTTTATCTTCTGCCAGTAGTAAAATGAATGACATGACTTATGGCCCAAGGCTTTACTCAGAAGCTTGGAGCCTGTTACCAGTGCTGCTGGGAGCTCCTGAGGTAGATACAAAGGCTAGGTGTCAGGGAGACTACCCAAGAGCAAAGAGCCAGAGAAGGGAGGCAGGTGCTGTTGGACACAATTGCCATCACTAGGCAGATGCTGTGAATCCAACACAGATCTGAGTCAGGTTCCATATGCAGGGTCTGGGGCGAGTGCCTGGGATCACTGTGTGGCTGGAATTCTCCAGAAACCTGGTTTATACAAGTGTAATTGAAACTTGAAGCAGCATCTGATGCAGCTGGGGCAAGGCTGATTAGAACTAGGTGGTTGGAACACGGTCTAGCTAGGAAGGGAAGGGACCATGCACATCAGGGTGGAGGCTGCAGGCAGGCAGATGGCCATCACAGCCCAGCGGGCTGCCCATTACTCTCCTCCAGGCCCAGGAGACTAAACACACTTGAGTCACAACTGCCTCTGGGCATGGGAGCTGTGGTCTTGCTTCCACTCACACGTCCCAGCAAGAAGGAGCTTCCGCTGTGCTTGCAGACTTGACCCTACTAGTCTGGGCTGGGGAGTTCTGTGTCTGCCCATGGCTGGTCATTATTGTCTACAAAACCTGCTGTGATCTGTGAGAATTTTTATGACTAGGTAGCTCAAGGGCATGATGACATACATGCCTATGCTATTGCTGAGGGAATATCTCTATTTTCAGGTGAAGATTGTTTCTAATTTTATGTTCAGAATTCCATACAAGAGGCACAGTGGAGGTATATCAATGAAGATTAATCCACCAGCATTCTTTCAAAATACTGAACCACACTTTCTGATAGACATTGGGGTGGGGTGGCTGCAAGCAGAATGTCTGGGTTGGAATTCTCATTCCACAGCTTCATGCTGTGTGATAGTGAGTAACTTACTTTCCCTCTCTGTGTCACAGTTTCCTATTCTCTAAAAACAGATAATAATAGTGACCTACCTTATAGACTGTTATGAAGATTAAATTAATTTATATATGTAAAAAAGACTTGGGACACAGATTTTTCTGTAACTTTTAGCCATTGTTATTGCTACCTGAAGAATAAAAACAGAAATGTGACCCTGGTCCTTGACCTTGGGTGGAATCACAAGATAGGCAATAGTTTAGGGAAAAAATATTTGTACTGGGTATTTTCATTATTCAAAACATTATTAATAATGTGCTATTAAGATAACGTTACAAAATTAAAATATTAAAAAGAAGCCCATGGTACAGAATCAGAAAGTCTTACTGTGCATGTGTATATTTTGACTCTCTATAATTCCTCTGTCAATCATCAGCTTTGCAGATTTCAGTTAACTGGGTCAACTTGCCAGTAATAACTGCTTTGGTCTCCCCATCTCTAACTCACCTCATGATCTATTTGCTGTCCTGCTGCTACGGTAACCTTGCTACAGTTCTCTTACCTGATGAT